CTGGTCCCCGTGCGGCCGGTGGGGCTGGCGCGGGCGAGTCCTCCCGCGAGGCAGCCTCCAAAAGCCATTCCTGACACACGCCGTCCAAGGCACTAATCATCCATGTTTACTGTATAGCTCATATGTGCTGCACCTGGCAAGCGGCAAGGGAGCTGAAGGCAGCACGTGTTTTATATTTGAGTTGTTACTTAAAAAATCAAATTATTTGCATCAGTTTTTGACATTGTTTTTTTTTCGTTGGCTCTGAATGCCAGGGCTCACAGTGCATGCAAAGATCTGTTTGCTACGTGTAAGCAATATTTTCCCCAGTAGAAAAAGTGTAGACAAGTTAAACATAAAAGGTGTAAAAGATGATCTGTCTTTTCAGTTGTAAGCCGCCATGGTATTTCATGCAGGCTTATGTCAAAGAGATTAACCCACTGGAGCTATACTGTATATTTATAATTGCATACAAATGCATGCTATTGCTTCATAGATTAGTCTTTGTTAAAAATCATTTTGATATATTTGTTTTAGCAGCATAACTAGCCCTGGGGGCACTGGGTATAATTAGAAAAGGGCATGGGGGGAGGCGGGGCTTGTAGAATAAAGCAGTGGCCTTAGGATCACAGGTCCTAATTATAATTTATAATTAACCCTGGAATTTGCACAAACCATCCAAGCTAAACAAGGACTATCGTTTTCGCTGTTTAAATTGCAACCCCTTTTCTAATTTCACCACCTGCTTTGTTGATGTTGTTGTTTTCGTGGCTTAAAACTTAAAAACAAGGAGGGATTAAGAAAGCAGCATTTAAAAGTTTTCATATGAAATATTTACGTTCTGAGTTGACTAGGTTTGAGCCAACATAATGAATCCGCAGCAGAAGGAGTGATCTGAAACTTGTTTACTTATAATTAAAATTTTCCTTATTTATTTTTCTTGCCTTTTTTGCCCTTCTGCTTTCCTCTCTGCCCACAACTTATGCCGTGCACCTCAAGTGTCCGTGAACAGGAGCTGTAGATAACCAGATGAAATGGTGTCTCCACTCAGATGGGGACGTTTGTGCTGTTTGTGGACCTGAGCTCATAGACCCAGACCCATTTGTGCCTCTGCACATACCACGTACGAGAGCAGAGCTATTTTTCACCATTTTGCTCTTACCTCATTGCCCATCACTGTTTAGCCCAGTGCTAGGAGGACGTGGCTGTGCACTGTGTGTGAGCACGTTCGTTTCCCGTGGCTGCGTTCGAGCCAGCCTGCCGCAGAAATGCTGCCTGCTGGAGGAGTTGGTGAGGCTGCCCACCAGATCAAGTATCAAATAGAAAAGTTGAGCTGGAGATCTCTGTTGAAAAGAAAATCACCAGTAAGCATCAGGAGGAGCTGGTGAGACCTAAACTTCTCTTGCAGATTTTTTTCAGCCCCATCAGCCATGTACTCGAATTGTCTAGAGCACAGAAGTGAATCTTAAATTATCGCAATGCTAAGCTATATACCCTTTGTGTTCTTGCGAAGGGAAAATAAATATGTTCCCTCAAAAAGATTGCATTTTCAAAGTATATTTGACTTGCATATTTAATTAGGTTTCAAAATTATCCAGCTAATAAATTAAGTGCAAGGCTTTTGGTAGTGTTTTTCCAGTTCTATGTATATCCTGCATTTGTCACTAATTAATGAGTCCCTAATGCTTCAGCTTCTGGGAAGATGAGCAACAAAGATTAACATAACTAGTAAATCCGAAGATGTGCAGCTGGGTTATAGTATTTGAAATTTGACAAAAACATGGGAAGTATTATTATTTGTGACATGGCTCAAGATGGGGGATTGTGAGGAAAGCAGAGATGACAGAACTGGTGCTAACCACTGTGACAACAACTTGAAAAGCAGCCGACATGACATCTTTCCTATCATGCTGCCGAAAATGTCAACTTTGTGAAGGACAGTGAGAAAATGGTTTGCCGAAAATTTGAAAGGTAGATTCAAGAGATGCTCATCATGTCAGATGCAATATAGTCCACAGCTGGGTGAGAAAGGGAGTCCTTGCAGTGGTGATGGCTCTCGGTTGGCAGGCCCTTCCAGACATCCGCGCTGCTCCAAAAATGGCTACAGCTGACCTGTAGATTGTCTCAACTTTGCAGGAGCATGATACGGGAGGGCAGCGTGCCACTTACACCGCACGGCAGGCCCTGCGTGACAGAGAGGTGGCCAGGGCCACCGGGCTGGACATCTCACTGCCTCACAGGCGAGCCGGCGGCCATGGGCTGAGCGTGGGGGGAGCAGGCCGCTCGCCTGCCTGGGCTGGGTTTGCATCTCTGTGAAGGTGGAGGGACGTGGTGACAGAGCTGTTTTGGCCGGGACTTCATTCCCCAAACCCTTCCTTCTTCTTTGTGTGGGTCAGTGCTTTAAAACCAGTGCTTCCAGAGCCACACCGCTCAACTCCGACATAGCCCATGGTGGTATGTCAGCAGGCGTCAGGTGCCCCACACCACTCGTTACGTGCTAATAGCCAGTTCTGACAAAACTGAAGCCCTTAAATACAGTGAGAAGCTATGATTTGGGTGGACGGGCTGCGACCCAACCTGAGCTGTCAGATATGGGCTTGATCCTGCCTTCATCAGCATCAGCAGTGAGTTGCCCAGATCTTTGCATACAGAGCTGTTTGTGTTTTGTTGTTTTTTTTTCACACACCACTGCACGCTGCTTTCAATTAAATCCCTTGAATATATATTTTTAAAGCTGACGATGATTTTAAAAGCAGCCTGGATGCTTACTGTCCTCTCTGGGAGAAGACTTCATCCAGACCCACGTAGGTAACCGCAGCTCCCTCCAGCCTGTCAGTAAATCTCGCCGTCGGAGGTTGCTGACCCTGCAAAGGGTAACACAACTTTCAGACCATTTCCAGTCCACCAGCAAATCACTGCCAGGGCAGGCGGCTTTCACTGCCTCGTTTGTCAGCGCTGACACAATTAACCCAGTGACACCGCGAGTTGTTACGGGTACGGGGCGAGAACTGGGTGCCAAAAGTCAAATGAGGGTTTCAACCTTGCCCCTTGGTGCACAGCGTTTATCGCTGTCTGTCCTGAATTACCTGCTCCTCTGCTTGGCAGCAAACCCGGCGCTACGAGGTGCACAGCATAACAAAAGGCAGGGACATATCTGTCTGAGTGTTAAATATCTTATGGAATTTTGGAAAAAAAAATATATTAAGCATCTTCAGACATTAAATTTTGCTCAATATCTAATTTTTTTTATTATTATTTTTATTTTTTTCTTGTGGCTTGCTCATTTCTTCAAAATAACCGGTCCTAATTAGGTACTAATGAGACCAGATCCATACTTCCAAAAATGTTTATGAAATGTATTCCCTAGATAAGACATTTTATCTAAGTTTTAGCCTAAATCTTTTTCCTTTTTTTTTTTTTTCTTAATGCACAACTGAATTTGGCAAACAGTCAAATAACAATTTCTGATGAAATGCTATTTAAATTTAAATACATCCCCTGATATTCAAGTATTTTTTATGTCCATATTGTAAGTTTTATTTAATGTATATTTAGATTTAAGAATATGCCGTGAATATCGTGTAAGGTTTGCTAGTTACTCTCCTGAAATGTTTTAATCATTTATTCACCTGTACTGGAATACCAGAGTTTGTATTTATGATATTGAGAGCTTACTAAATACAGGGTCAAGGAGAAGTGATTGTACAGATTTTATTGCTTTTCATTTTTATCGTTTTTTTTTTTTTCCTCCTAAGTTTAGGGCCTTTGATTCTTTAAGAGGAAAATAAAGCCAACCAATTAACCCCTGACAGGAGGTTCATTAGAAGCTTTGTAATCCCTTGCCAAGTCTTTTGTATAACCAAACCAGTCTAGTGCTGAGGATTTATGCAGCTTAGGCTGAACACTGGAGGAGGCCTTTAAGTAAGAACATTTGTTCAATTTTAAGACGCCTTACATTACCTACGGAGAGCCTGTGCCAGCAGAGTTGCCCAGGAGTACACAAATCCGTAGACTTTGCTCGTCGGGAATGGGGAGCGGCGCTGCCGATTGTCTGGCTCGCCGGTCCCTTTGGCGGCTGGATTAGGCGCGCTCCTCTCCCTGCCTTCCTCTGCAGTGAGCTTTGCCGTGGGGCTGCGGGGGGAAGGAGGGCACGGCTGCTTTCAGCTCACGGCTGGGGCTGCATCGGCGGAGGGACGGGGCGTGGGAGCACGGGGACACCCGTCACGGCCCCGGCAGCGCCCGCTGCACACTGTGCTCGGTGACAGACGAGGAGCACCCGAGGCAGCAGAGCCTGGGGTCTTACAATGCACTCCTGTGCACGCACCAAATGCCAGAGAGTAGTAACTCGTACTCCCTGAAATTCGGTGGTATCGCGTGTTGATTTTTATCCCTCACGCTGAAATGAATGAGAAGGCGTTTTCAGGTATCAAATACTCACCGTTCTCTAGGTGCATTTCAGCAGAGTGTATTGAAGATGGTTCGCTTCGTGAAATTATTGTAATAAGGTGATTCAGTGGTTCTGAAGGAGCGCAGGATTTTACAGTCTGTTCATATATAAGGCTGTTGTCGATATTCTTTACACTGTGAATTGTGTTAAATTAGCAGCTGAATTTTTCTGCAGAAATGAAGTCCACATTTTGCCAGCAGTGGGCCCAATCCTGCGGTGGAAGCTGGCATTGTGCTCCTTGTTATATACCTACATTTAAGAGGGGATTCTGGTTTTTAAGGTTTTCCTGTCACAGAAAAAAAAAATATAAAAATAAAAGAAAGAGGAGGGTGTGGGGGGGAATCCACGTACAGATTATCATTCTGAGAGGGGGGCTGTTTCTTGCTTTCTTGCTTTCTGATACCTTTGCGGTCATGCTGCTGTGACCGCCGCGTCTCGACTTGGCACATGCCCTGTCCTGGGTCTAATGGCTGGTGACATCTGCGTCCCAACCTGCAGCATGTGCTTTGCTGTGCAGATGATTTCCCAGGGTCGTGAGGTGGAGCCTGAGTCATTCACGGCATTTCTCCTTCAGGCCGGACGGGATAGGAACGGTAACCGTAGATGAGAAAGAGCGATTCGAAGAGATCAAGGAGCGGCTGCGTTTGCTTCTGGAGAATCAGATCACGCATTTTAGGTAAAGGCAGAGACCCCAGGCTGAAGGGGAGAGGACTGATTTCCTCCAAACTCCCTCCTATAACCAGCAAAGCCAAAAGGCAGGTTTTGAATGCATGCGGGAATCCTGCATGAGTGGCACAGATCTAAGCAGGGCAGTGTTTGTAGCTGAAAAAGGATTTGAAAGAAACAACCTTTAAAGGGTATTTCAGAACTCCTGCTTCCATACGCACGGTAATGCTGTGAATTTTTTCTGAAATTTAACTCCCCCCACCCAAAAAAAAAAGAAATCCCTTGTCTTATTATTTCTTTGCTCAGTTATTACCCATTTATTTTTAATGCTTCCTAGCATACAGATAGGCAGCATTTTCGGGGGGGGGGGGGGTGACATAACTACAGAAATGCTGGATGTTGCCCCCGTAAAAAGGATGTAAAAGGATGTTGCCCCCGTAAAAATGAGCTGCTCACAGCACACCAGCCTGGCCCTACGTGAATCACGCACACGTGCACACAGGTGGGTGACATGGGTTTGTATGGAGGGTCTGTGGCTCTCAGACCTGCACCCTGCTGGGACAGTGGCTGCTTCAGCCCTATGCATTACCAGGTCCCTGGCTGTAGGTAACTGGTGCTGTCCTCTCCAGGGGGCTTTGTTTCATTTTTGTGAAGAGATGATGGTTAATTCTCTCCCAGCAGACCTAAAAACTCCCCAGGTGACACCCAGATTTAGTAAGCTAAAACTGGCTGACCTTCCCAACTGCCCCTTACTCTGTTCTGCTGCCTTATCAGAGCCTTTCTGAAAATTGCCTCATGGAAAGAACGCTAATACCAGGCAGAGGGAACAGAGAATCACTTGGTCCTGTTCAGGAAAGGATCTTTATAGGACTGGAAAGTCATATTGACAAGCACCTAATGTTAACAGGATGTGTTTTTTCTAGGTACTGCTTTCCATTTGGCCGTCCAGAAGGTGCTCTAAAAGCTACTCTCTCGCTGCTGGAAAGGGTAAGCATAAGAATAACAAAGAGTTGTTGAAATTACCTGCAGTCATGTGTCTTTCCATCCAGAAGAGTTTAAAGAACTACTGTTTTATATGTAATCAGTGGTAGTTAATATTGGAATATTAAGTGGGGCTTTTGATTTCTCCTGCTTCAGCCTGGAGGCCAGGTGCAGCCTGGCACAAACAGCAGCACAGCCTATCTGTGTTAGAGTTATGGGTCAGCTACCTTGCTGACAAGCATTGGCACTGCAGACCCTTCGTAAAGTGATACCTTGCTGCTAACCTGCAGCACAGCCCAGCCCGGACACAAACCCAAGTCATCAGCAGAGCCTGGGAATGGCATAACTTTGCCCAGCCCTGGGGAAGTTGCAATAGGTCTTAGTGTCTTGCCCTAAGAATGGGAAGCACAGATTTTGGGGCATGCCATATAGGTTGTGGATACAGAGAGCACTAGGGAAGGGGTAGGTCCCACGTCTCAGGGCTGGCCAAGGTGACCCTGTTGCAAATCCTGCCTATTGCATTCTTACCCCGAGAGCCATGCAGCGCTAGAGTAGGAATGGCTGTGTTTGTTGGGCTTGGAGAAAAAAAAAACAGTTATGTACGCCTGATGCCACAACAAATCAGATTTTCTTGTGTCAAGGTCCTGATGAAAGACATAGTTACTCCAGTCCCTCAAGAGGAGGTAAAAACAGTCATCCGTAAATGCTTGGAGCAAGCAGCTCTAGTCAATTATACTCGACTATCAGAGTATGCCAAAATTGAAGGTAAGGCTCTTTCTTTGTGAAATTACAATTTTGTTATATTTCTAGGTGGCAACTGTGGCTGGGAGCTATTTGAGAGAAATTCATTTACGATTTATTCACTTGTCAATAAAATTGATGTGATTATGAATCATTTTTGTAGTGTTGGCTTTTGAAGCAGTAAAGAGTGGAAGCTATGTAAAACGTTTCTTTTTCTAGATAAGAGAGAGGAAACAGTTAAAAGGAACTGTAGCTTTTTTTTTTTTTCTCTCTCTTTTTTTTTCATTTGATCGTTAGTGCATTTGGCCAGTGGTGTAGTATTCAGATTCATGTCGTGGTTTTAAAAAACAAATTGAAAAATACTTGGGATGTCATCTTTGCAGCTGAAGGTATAGCGCAGCTAATTGCTTGTGACAGTGGAGTTCAGGAAACAAATGAAAAATAAGAAGCTGAAAAACTGTTTAATCTATGCTTAATCGTTTGTAGCCAATTTAAAATGTCTTTTTCTGGGAGTGTTTCATTGTCTTTGCACTTTGCATAGCAGGCATCGATCAGTCGGTCCCATACTTGCATCAGATTTCTTTCTTGTCACTCTAAATCCGGCACAGCTGATATTATTGACCTTTTAAGTTATGGGAGAATAATAACCAGTGACCAGAGACACATGTAGCCATCAAAAAGACATTTTAAAGCTTGCTGGAGGATACGTGTTAGCTGAAGCTCTCTGATCCAGTAGCTCTTTACATGTTGATCAGTTTACGTTGCTACCTTGTGGGCTGCTGTCCCCAACTTGAAACTCCTACCCAACTGTATCCAAGTTTGCAATTGCTTAAACCCGTATGTTCCAGATGAATGGTATGTTCTGCTCCAGAGTTTGGGTTTCTGTCATGTGTGATGTGAAGCTTTCCTACAGCTGAGATTATCATTGTATGCCTCTAGGACAATATTGAGAGGAGAAAAAAAAAAACAGCTCCCTCTGATCTTTTCATAGTTCTTGTTTACATGAAAAATTGGGTTGTTATATGACAAATTGTCCAGGTTCTGTACATGACATGTCCTCTCTTTTTCCATTTTTTTCTGTCTAACGATGCAAATTGTGTACCAGTGGTAATGAATTCATTGTTATGCATCCAGTGAGAAACACTTAAGAATTGGGCACTAAAAGGATGTTTATCAACTCTTGACTTGGTAATGAGTGACAAAAATAGAGTAGGAACGAAGGTTTCATAAGCACTGTATTATCAGGCAATTTATCGAAGTACTCAACTTCACAGGATATTTTAATTGGTGTATTCTGTAAAATGCAATGTTTAAATATACTTGACAAGGCTGGAGAAGGACTGAGAATCAAAAGCAGCTTTTCTGTGATGGATGCTTCTACCCAGTGCTGGCTCCCTTAGGTTCTCTGTGTAAATATCACTAACTCGTTGGTAAGATTTGCTCTCTTCTTTCAGATAAATCTATGCAAAAACAAACTTTATGATCTGTAAGTAAAAATGCATTCATTTCCAAAGTAGAACAGTTAGTGTGTACTTTTCCTTTTGTGCCTCAATTCTTCTTGGTTGTGTTAATTATCTGCCCTCTTTTTGCACTGTGACTTGTAGGTCTGGGAATACTTTGAAGCAACAAACTTTTTTTCCAGCTACCTTTTCAGAGAAATAGTTCATTCCACACTACCTGCTCTCTTCTGCTTTTCTCCTCTTTTATCCGTGATTGGCCACAGCCACTTTTTTATCCTATCTCTGTAAAAGTGGTTGTAACACCAATTTCGAAGCATGCTGGGCTTGTTAGTTCAAACAACCCAACATCCGCCAGCTGCATGCATCAGGTTTTCTCTCATGAGCATAGTCCACTACGCGTTCAAATAGCTCCTTAGAAGAGCAAAGGACAAATTTGCCTTGGCAAGGTGCACCTCTATGTGCCGTGCATGGTTTTGAAATCCTGCTCTCAAACGCTGATACCTGAACAGCCACGTTTAAAAGAGTTTTCTCAGAGATGCAAAACAAAATCAGTGGCGGCAGTGCTTGCGGCTATGTTTATGAAGAAATACCTGCAAGAGCCTTAGATACTGAAGGCTGAAATCCTTAGTATCTCGGAGCCTTAAACTAATGAAAATCTATTTTCCTCTATTCATGACGTTTTGACCATATTCTTGCAAACAGTTCCGAACAAACCTCTAGAGTCATGGTCACAACCTCTCTTGTGACTCATGGGCATGCTGAATGGTTAATCCAGTAGACCTCCGATTTGAACCCTCCTTTCCCTCTCCCCCCTTTTTTTTTCCTTTTATCCTGTGTGTATCCCAAAATACTCTACGGCTATTTTCCTTTTAACCTAATATAAAGTTTTCCTCTGACCTATAACCTATAACCTCTTTACCTCTGACCTAAGCCTCTTGCATGCCCAAATCCTCTTTTATAGGGAAAAAGAGAGAAATGTATGAGCATCCTGTCTTCTGCTTGGCCTCTCAAGTGATGGATTTAACCATTCGTGAGTACCTACCACCCTCCTCTCCATGCTGTCCTCACTCTTTCTGTTCTCATTACCTCAAGAAAGTCCAGATCCAAACCAACTCACTCTCCTTGCTTCAAGTCTTTTAGCATTGGCTTGTCTGTTGCTTCTGTCTGTGAAACCCAGTGTGAGAAGTCCAGTCACTTTTTATCAGCCTAAACCAGGTTAGACAATTTAGCCATTTGTTTGTGATAAACTCAGACTGTCTGTAAGTTTTTTCAGTTACTCTTTATGTCTGTGACCTGAATGCATTTTTACTTTGCTTCCGTGTAACCCCAATTTGTAAAGTGCTTGTCACTGGTACACAATCAAAGGGCAGCAGCTACACCGGGGAGAAACGAGCTAGCGGTCAGATAAAGGACGCGGGGAAAAGCCGTCCCTTCTCCTGCGTACACGATCTGTAACCAATCCTGTGTATAAGACCCTGTGAGGCTGTCCTTCCTCTGTACATCAGATCTTACATGTCTCCTGTCCGTTCTCTCGAGCGGAAGCGCTGTACTTGCTCTCCTCCTGGATTTTTTGGTTTGCTCCTCTCCGCTGAGCTCCGGAGGGGACACAGGAGCCCAGGTGCCGCTTGGGGAGCCCCTGCACGTTCGCAGAGCTCGCGCTCTCCAATTTTCTATTTGTGCAGCACTTTCTTTCACCTCTTTGAAAGGAGCTTCTTTTGGTAACACCATGCTGCTGGGCGGGGGGGCGAGACGGGGCAACTTTTCTTCTTTTCAAATGTCATATATCACGCATAACTGGGGGGCTGTGCGGTCCACTTGCTCATTAATCCTGCCTATCTGTTCTTGTTTCTCTCTTTTCTCTCCTTGTCGCTTTCTCTCTTTCATATAGAGAATCAAAAGGATGCAGGTGAACTATTGTATATGCATTATAAATTACTAGGACTGTTGAGTTATATTTATTTTGTTTAATTTTTTTTTTCATAGCTCCTTAAGATATGTACTCCTTCAGGCTGAAAATGGAGATGCATTGATACTTAAGGAGTTAATTTGTGCTGTCTACGTAACCTCTTTTGCCTCCTTCCTTAGAATAGAGTGTAGATTAGAAATACCTCATAGAAATCGAGTGTCTTCTTAAGAGACAGTTTTAATGGAGAACCTGGCCTTTGGAAAGAGAAAGTTTCTTGTTTTCCAAAAGAACTGCGGCTCATTTTTGGCGCAGAAATGTTGGTGATCTGGCCATTAATTTAACACACCCAACAAGCACATTAATGACGAAACTACTGTTCATTTTTGTTTTTCATATCTTCTGTTTTATGCCCTATTGGGAGGACTGGTTTTTTAATTTTTTTTTTTTATTTTCAATTTTTTCGTTAATGTGTGACAAACAATCCGGTCAGACAGAAGTCATGTTTGTCTCTCGTTTATAACCTGTGGTGACATGTGATGAGGCAAAGGTTCAGCGCAGACCAAAATGCCCGAAGTGCCTGTCTCTTCAGAAGGGGTTTCAGAGGTCTGCAGCCCCCTGTTCTCGTTTCTGTTGTACACCAGAGTCCTGGTTTGAAAGTCCTTGAAACCTGAACTGTTCATCTCTTTTTGTGAGTAGATTGTTATGTTTTGTGGAAAAAATAATAATAATAATAACAGGATTCAGTTGATTTCAGCTGTTTGCAAAGGGAAATTGCTTTTTTAAAGCAGAAAAGGGACCAAGCTTGTTCTGCCCAGGCTTCCCCAGGCTCCCGCAGCTCAAATTTGGCCCAGGATCTAGAGCATGGCACTAAAACCAATTTTGACTAGCAATATTTAAGCAACAGAGATTAATTCTTCCCTACAGCGGCGAGAGGTGCAGGTACACAAATTGCAGACGTAACCACAGCACGTGCAGCTATTTCCAATGATGCTGTTGTGCGTTAAGCACAATGCAAGCACTGGGCATTGCTCTTGCTGGCAAAGGCTTGTCACGTGCTGCAAGTTGGGGAACTCAGAAGGACGTTTCTTTGGCCCAGCTCGTTTAAAAATAAAACTGGTTCTGGATGCTGGGAGCGAGCAAGAGGACACAGCGAGCCGTGACTGCCCTGCTTTGTGCCCACAACCCTACCAGTGTCTTAAACGAAAAATTTTCAGGCAAGTGCAGCAGGACTCAACTTGAAATCAGTTCCTCAGCTTAAGTGGAGTCAAAAGTGACTGGGTTTTGGCCTGACTTTTTATTTATTTTGCCAAAAGCAAGAATAAAAATAAGATATTGAAAACAACTTCTTAAACACCCAAATGTCACCCCTCGTTCTCCTTTCCCCTGAGAAGCTTGTAGTCTCCTAAAAATATGGACTTAAAATAGAACGCTAAACAGAACATTACAATAATTAAAGATTAATGGCTTGTTTTAATTATTAATCACACAAAACTACTAACACTCACATTAATAAGTGCAACCTTTTAATAAGGGTTTGAAGGCATATTTATGTAAGTTGGGAGTCCATCCTTCCTTTAGAAAAGAATTTCTCTGTCCCTTATGCCCAGGAATTGAGAAATGCACTGCACTCTGTTTGAGGGTGGTGGCATTAAGGGATCCCATTCCCACGAACACAAATGCCACTTTGCTCTGCTGGTGCCAGCCACAGTGATAGCTGTCAGTGTGGCCATTCATTGTGCTTAGTGTAAGACTTTTGGTCTTTAGGTTTCAGATTATATCTCATGTAGTGACCTGGTTTTGGCCTCTATAAAAAAGAGGCTTCCCGTGGTCCCCCTGAGCTGCTGCATGAAGATGAGAAGTGAAGGAGATGTAGGGCTGGGGACAGCTGGTACCTCGGTGCACGGGGCAAGGACCACCAGCAGGGCAGCTCTGCAGGCAGAAAGCAACTTGAGACAGACCCAGTGACATCCCATTGCTCTGTCCCTAGGGGAAATCAGTTTGTCTTGGGCCATTTTGGGACCAAAAATGCGATTTATTCTCATCCCTGGCACTGAGCATCTTGAGCAAAGCGCTCGCCCCGGCAGGCACAGAAAGCGTGCTGGGCTGGGGGAGCGGGTGCGGGAGAGGTCGGTGTGTGAGCGGAGCGATGCAGCAGGTTGCTGACAAGCAGTGGTATTTGTCAAGGCACTCGTGCTGCCCCTTGTCACAGTCCCCGCGCTCACTTTACGTCACTCGCCTTGCCTATTTCTGGATCTCAGCCTGGGAAGCTCCGTGCGCGTACCCGGCATCTTTACAGAGCGCACCGAAGCCGTAGGGGCTCAGCTGCTTGTTTATTAATCCAACCTGAGACAAGAAGAGGTCCCGTGGGATTTATTAGCCCAGCCACCACTAGGCAATCACCCCCAGCATCTGCCATAAAGCGCAGAGCTCATCAAGAAAATCAAATGACATTCCCCAAATAAACAGGGGTGCAAAATATACGAAACCATCAGTCTTTGAGGCAGGAACAGAGACTGAAGTCATTAATAAATCATTTACTTTACTATGACTGTAACTCAGACGTAAATGCAACCTGTGTTTGTTTGCTTGCTGAACTGCTGCTTTATTTGCTTCGTTCCTTGAAGTGGCATTCAGCTGCGTTTGGCAGAGTCATTACGCAGCTTCCTAAATTTCCTGTTGTCCTTTAGAAGCCGGTGTTCGGAGCAGTGTCGAGGTTGTTACACGATGCTCTGCACTGTGCCCTTACCCTTCCACAGAGCTCTTACCAACTGCAAAGCCACTTGCTGCCTGAGGCGTGAGATGTAATTCACATGTGCAAAAATTCTTCACGAGGCTAAATAATCACGAGGCTAAATAATAAAAAGTCAGGAGATCAGATTTCTTTGCAGAATGTTGAATTTTTGAGAGCTGGAGTCGAGTCTCCTGAGTTGAAAAAAAAAAAAAATCCGTGAATTTGTCTTAGTTTGAAGATAATGCATCTTGGTTTGGGAGAAAAAAAAGTGTTATCCTCACTGAAATCCCTTCCAGACACACATAAATCTCAATCAGGACAGCAGCTGGGCAGGACAGGGTGTGTTGCCCACAGCTCTCAGCATCACTCCCAGAGGAGTGCCTCTGCCCCAGTGCCCTGTCCCTGTTTGAATGTTGAAGTTACAGAGGTGCTGCATCTCTTGCTGCTTCCTCCTCATCCTTCACCTCTCATGGCTTTACCCAGGACAGAGATCACTTGCACAGGTCAGGCTGCTGCAGGAGCTGGGGGTCAGCGAGGTCTGAAATCTGCTTTCTGCCAGGGTTTGCATGGGCACCCCCCTCCTTAGCATGAGTGGTTGGCGATGCAGAGGCTGGGCTCGCATTTAGGGGCGATTTAGGGTCACAGCGCACAGAGCCACGATGGGGTGCAGATTTCCTTGGCTCTGGCACTGCTAGGAGGAGCTCTCCCTCTCGGACTCCCCAACATCAGAGCCAGCAGGACTGGCATTCCTTTTGGGAGGCATTCCTCTCACTTGGCTGCCAAACGCAGGTGGGAGGAGATGTGCCACAACCCCTGCCCGCGCTGGGACCGTGGCACAAACTGCTCGTCCTAGTGGTGAGCAGTAAAAAATCCTTCCTAACCATTATGTGCCGGGCTCAGGAGCCGTCAGCAAGTAGCCAAATTGAATTCTTGCTTATGTTTTAAATGAGACTGAAAGTCATTAGGCCAATGCCCAAAAAGCTGGTGTTTTTGTCACTTGAGGCTGAGAGGTACAATTTCTGGGGACAAAGCCACCCTGGGTAAACATTGAACAAGGATCAGGGCGACTCCAGAGATAAGCAAATAGATTTGTTTTTCTTGTTAGCAGAAAACAAAACAAAACAAACGAAAAAAGAAAGCCGGAAGCCAGTGGCTCGAATCTAAGAGTCTGAATTAAATCGTTACAGCTTAAAAGACTAAAAATGTGTGTGTGTGTGTGTGTGTGTGCATGTGTGTGCACAGTTGTGCATTGTGTGTGTGTTCGTGTACGTGTGTACCTCTGTGTATGGAGAGAGGCTACAAACCTAACTCATCCTCTTTAACATAGGGTTTACTCGAATATTCTTTATTACACTCTGATAAGTGTTGTAATTCTGTGAGAATTAAAAGCAATCAGAAATCTACTTTGCACAAGCCAACCGATTTTTTTTTTTTCCACTGGAAAATGCAATCAAAATGGCAAGGACTTTTGGCAATAGAATGTCCAGATAAATATGCCAGAATCCTTGCAAATGGCATTATTAAAAATAGTCACAATGCTGCTAAAAACTGATATTAAATGTAATAGAAACTATTGTGTTAATATATGCACAGTATGTAATTTATTCTCTGAGTGTATGTAAAAGGAAAGGCTATTTTCTTTGAATTTTTCCTATGCTGATATTGTAAACTATATGACAGATGGGTCAAGTCCTGATTGCAGTATTCTAACATTTGGAATAGCAAGTAACATATTTGATAGAGCTGGCAAGTTTTTATATATGATTCAACCCAGAATATAAAAGCCACTAGAATTCCAAGTTGAAAATAATTAAATGAGCTGGAAACGATCAGGAACCACACATTTTTAAGTGACAGATTTTTTTACATGTTTAAATTGCACAAGAATATTTTATAGCTCCCTTTAACCAACAGTGACGTTTAATTCTAAAATGTGTAATTGATATTTGTAAAGCAATTAATTCATGTGGCTCATTATTCTATTGCTAAATGTACCTAAGCACTGGAGCGCTGACTTAAAGCGATGGTTTTTAGTCACCTGCTCTGAATTCTGGAGTTTTAGCTGGATTGCCCAAAGTCAGGTTTGTCACGTGGCTGCACGAAAGGCAGTTCCACACTTGTGTTGAGTTTTTAGCTTTCTGATTGCACACTGCTGTAGGATGTAAGAACCTTCTGACTTCTAGGATATTTGTTGTTAAACGGTGTCATTCCCGTGTAATACCTCGAGTACCAATGAGCAAAAACCCAGCAGCTTATTCCATGTGTATTTGACCATTCCTGCTTATGTTCCTGTCAAAAGTTTTCATCTTTTTGTCACTGTTTATGACGTCCCTTGTCTCTTTACTTTTGGCGTCTCTCCGTCACGCACAAGCAGCCCGTCCATCCAAGCCTAAGCCACCGGCTGGGCCACCGTCATCTCCTCAAACGCAGACTAACATGATAAATCATATGCTCAAAGGCATGGCCAAACAGACGCCAAGTACTGTAATAGTCTTCCTTCCTTTTATTCAGTGCTTTCCTAGTCTAGCAGTTGCTTGTTTAGTATTAAGCAGTTGCTTGTTTAGCATTAGGGAGCTAGTTCTCATGTGCAGCTTTACGAAACACCTAGCGCGACGTGGTAGGTTTTTAGAGATTTAGAGGTAGCGTTTATTTCAAAATGTCCACATTTTTTTGTCTAGCAATGTCTGACATATGCAACATTTTCAAATATCAACGTCAGCACAAAATAACATTGTTGTTGCATAACATTTTGCATGAAAACTATAAATATGTATGAGCTTTACATGATGTTGGATGAAATGTTTGATAAGTATATCGTATACGTTTGATGTAACTGTCAGTGCTCCAGCTATCTTAGCAGAATATTCTGATGTATAGTAACTTAACCAGGGAAATATTTAAAATAAGAAGAAAAAAAATTAAGATTGACATCTGCTGGCTGCCAAAGTTGTATAAGCATCAATATTTTCTTTAAAGACAGCATCTCTGAGCAGTTGTTCTTATTAACACTTTTGTCTTTTAGTTGTATTTGAGAGCAGATCAGTGTTGCAAATGAGAATGGGTCTGATGCTGCTCTGATCAATGGAAAAGCTTCCCCCTGGCTTTGGAGGTGCAGAAGCAACCAGAGCTTACTGAGGGACACTCCTTGGGACTCTCTTTGCGTAAAAGGAACAAGTTTCTTTTTGTTGTAGCCAGCAAGGTGCTGGTTTTAATAGAAGGAAGGACGAGTTAACCAGTATCAGTATTTGCCCAATAGAGTAGGATGAGGGGAACCTGGATTTCTTTTTGTTTCCAGTGATACAAGAGATGGAAGGCAGAGAAGAGAGCTCACAGCCCCTGTCCATGGTATCAGTCAGGAAAAATGTAGAGTGAATGTGCCATGCTGCATCTCTCCGCTGAGCCAAAAGCACCTGCAGTGCCAGGTTTCAGCTGGCCTGGCTGCTCAGCTCCTCCGAAAACAGCACCGTGTGCCCTCACACAGCCACCTGAGTGTGGCAGTTCTGAAAAACATGCCTTGCCTTTTCATGGGAAATTACTGCCTGTAGAAGTACATTCAGGGAAAAGTAGGAGCAGGCGTGGTGTTGAGGTGGAGAGCTGAGTCCTCAGAGTTCACGAGCCTTCAGCAAGGCAGGGATTTCTGCCCCGGTACTCAGCATGGGACCCAGCAGAGCAGAGTGGTGGCATCTGTGTGCAACCCCAAGTTTCTGCTCTGTCAGAAAGGAAAATCTAAGCACTAACAAAATGCTAATGCATGCAGGAGCCTGGAGCAAGATGCGCAGCTGCCTCGCATTGCAGCACAACCCAAGCTGTTGGGCTTAGCTCTGGGCATCCCAAGGTGAACACCTTGCTAGTAAAGGAGCTTTAATTCATGCACGTCTCCCATTTTGCTTTGTTGAGCTCAAACAGTCTATTGTATACTATATAATTGCAGCAGACTGATTTGGCTTTTGTGGTTTTTTTTTGGTACTTCACCTATTTGCAAAGTCTCCAGCTTTAATATCATGGACAGACCAAAATATAAATAGGTGGAGAGGGATGAACCAGAGGATGTAGCACCGAAGTGTGATCCTGTCCTTCCCCCTAGCTACGCTAGAGCCAGGTTTGGTACCCAGTCGTTAGCCAGAGGGACACATCTGTAGTTGCAGGTGGTGACACTGCAGCACAGGTGGGTCCCCAGGGAGCAGGGCTGCTGCTCTGCTTCTCCCCAGGGTGACCAGTGCAGGTGAGCCACGGGGTCAGGTCACAGGAGCCTCCTTGGTTGCACCTAGCCAGCTCTGCGGAAGCTGCCGTTCGATGAAAATGTGTCTATTTTGTTTTTTTTTTCTCTATTATTTCTATTGAAATACTCTAAATGGTCCAGATTGTTTGCACCTCAGATGTTTAATATGCTAATAGAAATATGTTACCTGGAAGAATATGATTTGGTTGTTCTGAAAAATCTTTAGAAAATGCTGCAAAGTAACAGCAAGCTCCAGGATTTAAACTCCTTGGTTTGTTTGCGGGGTTTTTGCTGTAAAGTTGCATCTCTTTTCCCATATAAATCTTTGGTATGAACACCTAGTGGGATTTACCACTTTCCACTCCCTCCAGCATGCGTAACTCCTTGACCTTTGTGAAGTTAAATCCTGGAGCAGGTCAGACCTGCAGTCTTTGCTTTCAGTAGCAGGTGACATTTAAATTGCTCGAGTTTGACGATTTATTAAAAGTGCAGAGAGATTTGTTTAAATTGATCTTAAAAGAACGTTAAAATCGTGCAGACGTGATTTGTAATGCATCATCTACGTTGAAGGACACATATTGTTCATACATTAGTGGCCAGATGCTGTCTTTAGGGAATGTAATGTTCCTATTTGAGCTAATAAAGTGCCACCACCTCACCATAACGCAAAACAACTCTGACAGTATTGTGAGATTTGGAGCTGGAGCACTGTATTTTCATAGTATTATAACGAATGTGGCTTTCTGGTTTGCTCAGTACTAATTATATAAGCATTTAACATATGCATGAAAAGATCTTTAAAGCTGTAGAATATTATGGGATTTCTTAAACCTCTAAAATTACTTACTGTGCATCTAGCTTTTTCACTCTGCCTGCCTTTTAACTCGAGTTCTTGTACTACAGAAAATGTAGGCCGGTTAGTCACACCAGCTAAAAAGTTAGAAGACACAATACGTCTGGCAGAATTGGTAATTGAAGTCCTCCAACAAAACGAAGAACACCATGCAGAGGTGAGCAGCGGCGCCCTGCGAGCTTGTGCCCCGCAGGGCTCGAGCAGGGTCTGGTCGGTTGCTGGTGGCTCTGTGTACTTATGGGATGTCTTCCGAACAGGTGCTGGGTTATCTTTTTTAGAAGCCAATAGTGGTGGTAAAAGGGTTGCTGAAGGCACGGGGACAGGTCAGGAAGATTGCTTTTCAGAGGGGAGGGGGGGCTAAAGGAGGAATGAATTAAATCCTGCTGTCGTCTACATCAGTCTGCAGCCTTTCATGCAGCGCCAGCAAGAGCCCAATATATTCACCACCAGCTACGTGCAAGACCAAGCCCGTCCACTTTTGAGAAAGGTCGTATTGCCCCAAATGTCCTGAGTTTGTACCTCCAGACAGCATTAGCAGCGGTCACTGCCAGCAGCAAACCGCTCCTGCTGTTGAGAGCTGTGGCAAGTAAAACCATCACAAAGCAAAACAAGGATTTTTGGTCCCTTCCTGAGCATTCAGGTTGTTTCCAGGGGTTTCCCTTTGCCCCTGTGGTACATGATAAACTGCTGTTTTAGCTCGCTTGGTTTTCTGTTGGCCGCTTCTGTCTTGGTTTATTGGGAATACTTCTATTACTAGCGTGGAGATCAGAATGAATTACTCTCTGTTACTAATTATTTGAGGTACCTAATGCCTGATAAACTACTCTTAACTCTTCAGAGCACTTTAATGGAAAGAATCGTGCTTTAAAAACACTGAAACTATATTAGAGTCAGGTATATTTCAGAAAATCCTGAGGCTTGATCCTGGAAACACTGATCCTGAGGCTGCTGGCAGTGCTGGGTATAGCCTCGCCGTCAGCACGCCTGGACGGGGCTACCCATGGGGACTTGCCCACCTGTGTAAGTGTTTGCAGGATTGAGCCCTGTGTTCTCTGTAAATCTGGTGCTCTTGGCTAAGTGTTGGAAAATGAATCATTTCTAAAATTCAGAGTGAACAGTTATTGTTTATGCCTGTAGGTATTGTAACACTCATGCACTCTTTTCTCTTTTCCTTCCCATTTTTATATATACTCACTATATTTTGCATTAAAAGCATTTGATAACTAATTTCACAATCACCTAAAAATCATTCCAGTGTATATTAAACTTGCAGTATAACTTAACTTATTGATAATACACGACAATCCACGACACCCAACTAATGCCTGCTTGCATATTTAAATTTCCTCCCTGTTTTTCTACTGTTCATTCAATCTTGGATGATCCTGGCAGGGGAAAGAGGTATGTGACTAAACTGAATGACACGAGTCACTCCTGTCATATTTCGTGCATGCCCTCTCAGTGCCATGTTTCCTCCCGGGATTTTACCTGGGTTGCCCTCGCTTCCGTAACTTTAACCGAGGAATGTAACAGCAACTCCCAGTCGGCTGCTTGTGGAGCTGGTAGCCTTACACAGGAGGGTCAATGTGGCGTAGCAGTCCAGTCCATGCATGTAGCAATGGGTATCTTTTACGAGCGCTGCAGTTACATCCCAACACAACCCTACCTGCCTGGAATCTCTCCTCAGCCTGTTGTTACCTCTGTTGTTTTGCATTCACCCGACCTATAGTACACTGTGGTGGAGATGGACTGAGTTCTACACAAGTGACTAGAATGGTAGTGTTCTTCCTCTGGTTTTGTCTGTATGTGCCTTGTACTGGATATACAGTATTTATATGTAGAGAGAGAATAAACGTGGTGAAGAGTGAAATAAACTTCTTTTTTTTTTTGCAAAAATGAGGAGGTGCCTGAGAGCACCACTATAACTTGCCCAAGGCTAACGAGTATTTTATTCCACTCATCACCAGCACAGGCTGTTTGTGCAACCAGCCTGGAAAGAGCTGATTTTAAAGTACAAGTAATTTTGAAAACAGTAGACTTCTGAAGCAGGCAGTTACAGGGCCGTGGTGTTCAGCCAGCTGTGCTGCTCTTCACAAGGACAAATGTTAAAGCTGTTCTTCAGCATCTTCAGTGTCACAAGGCTGTGATTAGAGACAGAAGGTTAATGCCAACAGGGATAGGAGGCTTCCTGGTCCCTTGTTCCGAAGGGTGACCTGGAAGGGTGAAATTCATCTCTGTCCAGAAGCCCCGGATACTGTCAGAACATTACTGAATTCCTGTCCCGAGGCTTTCTGTGGCACTTCAGCAGTGCTCAGGCAGTTGGCCAGCTCTCTGCACACTTGGAATTGCACCCAAAGGAGCAGAGAGGCAAGAGGCTGGCGGATTTATCACATCGTTTTTATTATGCATCATGGCCACATTGTTCTGTTCCTGTGCAATGAGAATCGCTGAGGTACTGCACTTTTTTTTTTATATATTATTCCAGGTGAGATTTTTTGTCTTCTTGTCTATTCACCTGGGGGTGAGAAAGTTCAGCCTGCAAGGTGTGACTCTCCGGTCTGCTTTGGATGTTCAGCAGAATTAAATGGCATCGGTTACTGAAGGAATGCCTTATTTTCTGAAAACCAACAGTTTTTGCAATGAAAACACACCCCTTTTTTCCCAACATGGCCATCCAGGCAGGCACACAAATGGGGACCCAGAAACCAAAACTCAGAGCATGGAGTCAAAAACCATTAGAGCAGGAGCATCGTGCCTTGTCAGCTGGGTTTGCCTCACCCATCAGAAAGAGGCAAAGCAGCAGAGACAAAAATGCAGGAGAATCAGTGGTGCTTGGTAGGTGCTGTGTAGAGCAGGAGGTCTCTGCCGTGTGTCACCTCGCTGCTCAGATGTCTCCAGCTCTGCTCTCCTTCCCCTGGATGACTGATGGCACACGCCAGAGACCGTGGTCTTCGAGTCTTTTGGAACCCGTGTTCTCTCTCTATGTATACGTATGTGTATATGTATATATGTATTTTAACTCCTTGAGGTCATACATATATACATGTGTATCCATGTGTAAAACATACACTAATAGGTGTGTTTGGCTAGAAAGAACACTTTGTTTTGCCTTCACATCGTGTTCTGAGTGAAGCAGGTAAGTAGATGGTAAATAAAGGAAATGTTACCATCATGAAGGAGTTCCTCAAAGCGTGGTGTTATGCTCCCACTGCAGGAAGGTCCTGTTCACTGAGAGTAGGGAGGAGGAGGTTGAGGAGTCTGGCATTAATTACAGACTTGTGCAGCTAAAGTTTTACTTTTCCAGCAAAAGGGAAACTATGACTGGTTTGGGCTTTTTTTTTCCACAAATGATCATATGCTTTTCTCCTCATTCTTTTAAAATAGCATTTTTTTTTCCTTTTTCATGGAAGCAGGTTTTTATTGCAGGACTCTGCAGTGATTATGTGGGATTTGTTGCAGAAGATACTCTTTGGCCTCCCCTTTGCCATCTCCCCAAATACTGGCTGCTGCTGGCCGTTTGTAGTGATCGCTTTTTGGGCACAGACGTGGGGAGGCAGCGTGGCAGGCTCTTGGCAGGCAGAGGAGCAGCCAGAGAACCACATCTGTGCAAGGACAGCCTCATCACCCTCCTTCAAAAGCATGGACAAAAGCTGCTAATTTTCAGAGGACCCTCAACAGCCACATTTCTCAACGTCCACTCGTTTCCCAACATTTTTTGGGGAGGAGGTTTGGGCAGGCATCCGAAGCAGACCTGATTCTTGATGTTTTTGGTTCCTGCGTGATTTCACAGGGACACCACACCTCTTGTCACAGCACTCACAGATGTACATGGGCTGGGCTGGATGCAGAAGGAAGCACTGAAGTGCATTGCCATGCCCGCAGCCCTGTCAGACTCCCTTGCTTCAAATTTGGCTTTTTCTGAATAACAAACTCTCCATCATAGCTGCCCCTGGGCTGTCCAAGCATCCCAGGGGAGGCATTGCTGCAGCGATGCCTGACAGTTTCCTCCATGTGCGTGGGGCTGGGGATGGTTTGTAGATGAAGGAGCCCAACTTACCCACCTCGCCCCCATGCTATGACCACAGGGATGCTGTAACCTGGTGGCATTGCCTCTCCGGGCAGAGCATGGCCCAGCCTGCCCTGGCACCCCTGCACCTCCATGGCTGGGCACTCCAAAGCTGTGCCTCCTTGGGGGTTATTTGGTTATTTTGGTTATTTTACATCTTGGATGTGCACTGGATGCATAATGCCCTGTGTCGCATCCTACCTCTGCATGTCTCAACACCAGTTGATATCAACTCATGGAATAATAGCAGGGTAATGTCAGCCTGCTTTGCATTTTGGGGGAGCAAAGGAGTGGAACTAGTCCCGAAGTCCTCCTGCCAGCATCCCTCTCCATGGCCAGGAGAACCAAGAGCTGGCGTTGTTCTCTGCAGCCATCTATAACAGGATTCATCAAAGGCATCCTGCTGTTGTCATCAGCATCAGCAGGAAAACATCAGTGAATCAAAGCTGAACCCTAAGAAAATTGAAGTCCATTTTGCTTATTCATGTCTGCCAAAAACTTCCTTCCAGGAGGCAAAAAATACCCCTCCTGACCAGCAATTCCTCTTTGAACCGATTTCTTTATTCTCGGTCTTTTCCATTCCATCTCTAGTCCTGTCCCTATGCTAGAGGTTTCCTTCTCTTGCAGAGTGCTGGAAAGACATTTCTCAGATCCTTTAAGTCACTGAGTAATTTCCTCTCCCTTACAAATTACAGCACATGGCCCTAACGGCAGCACTTCTCACACTGCATGTGCCCAGCCAGAAGTGATTACTAAACACGCATGCATGCGTCGGGAACATTCACATCTGAGCCGTGTACGATGTGAATGTCACGTCACAGGGCCCGGCCAGTGAATTTTAAGGACCCGTGTGCATGAGAATGAGTTACTTCACTGATATTTTTTGGCTTTCAAGATTAGATATATTTTTTTCCTGCCTCTGTGAAAATACAGGCTTGTCGTAGATTTTTTTTTTATCTTGGCATGTTGATGATAGAGCTTTGTTTCCTGATAAGTAGCGTTAACGAAGGTGGTAGTGTGTTTAGATGGGTGTGTGTAGCTGACCATGTAAAATGAACAGTGCTCTAATAACTCGCACAGGTGATGCTTGAAATATTTGCAAATAAGAGTGTGAAAGATTTAGGACAGATCCTAATGTCTTAGGCTTCTAGTTTTTCAAGACAAATAGAAGTAGAGAATCCAAATAAAAATTAAACTGTTGAAAAACACAGCAGAAAACCCACAAATAGTGAAGAAAGTCCCCAATTTCTGTACTTCAGAATAACGATTAGTTGATCTTTCTGATAATTAGCATAACTAAAGACGAGTTAAGTCATTTATTGTAAATTGAACAGATGAAACCTTCTCGGCCATGTTACAACTGCCTGCCTTTACGGTGGAGCTCTGAATAGATCCTCTGCAAGAAGCCTTTGTATGAAAACAGCAGTGCCTAATTCCCGTGATTAGCGCTGTACGTGCAGCCAGCACTTCAAAGCACTGTTCTCTTTACAATAAAGGTAGTTTCCAGGGGATGCACATTTGTTTAAGGTATGTGGCCTAGCATCTTTGACTGTGCTTTATGAGAACTAACATACTGTTCTGTTATCTTTTTCTACCAACCCTGAAGGCCTTTGCTTGGTGGTCAGACTTAATGGTCGAGCACGCGGAGACCTTCCTGTCACTGTTTGCAGTGGATATGGATGCTGCGTTAGAGGTGCAACCCCCAGACACATGGGACAGCTTCCCGCTCTTTCAGCTTCTAAACGATTTCCTCCGTAGTGACTGTATGTATTGTATTTTGATCGTTTCTTTTCAGTGGGCGGCTCAGGTTACTGCTAACACTTTCAGCCTCTCCGCACTGCACAGAGAACTGAGATGGGTAGAGATGCACAGGACAGCCTCTTGTAGCATCGGCTTGATTTTGTTCCATTTCCGCTAGAAAAAAAAAAAAAAAGCAATTCTCTGATGCACACACAAACACCCCTTAAATCAAATGCCCCAGCTGAAGGTGAGAAGTTGAACTTTTATTTGGCTTCATCTTCTCAAGTCTCTTGGTAATGGCTGCCTGACAAGCAGGGAATTTTGTACCCTATCTCACTGTCATTAAATGTGTGTGTTGTTTTATATGTGTGTACTGCATTTATTTAGCATGGAGTAAACCAGTCCCTGCTTTTAAAAGACTTTATTGAAGGGAGGAAAAGATTTAAATTAAAGTCAATGAGAGCATAAAGTAATTCAGAAGCTGAGTGCTTTGTGAAATAAGGCTCTTCTCCAAAGCACACATGGGCTCACACCTTCAAAACCCTTGGGGACTTGGCACTCCCCAGGGTGGTGTGACTGCTGCCGGGGAGCTGGTGGCTGAGCTGGCTCTTTCCTTGATTTACATCCTCGGCCAGGGCCCCACCAGCTTTCTGACACCACATAAAAAAGCCAGGGACTTATCCTCCAAAAGCAATTTCCAGTGTCATGGTAGTGAGTAACTGAATAAGAAACGATCCTCCTACCTGCCAAAGTCCTAATGTTTGCCATGCTGTATTTCTTACACCCATTTTATTCACAGGAAGTAATAATGTATTTGTAACCTGTAAGTTTGACATTAATGGAAAAGAAGATTCATTGTTTGTTTACTTGTTTTGAATAAGAAGCCATTCCTGTCTTTGTCGTGAGCATCAGTGCCTGATGCCAGCTCCTGTTTTGTTCTTGGAGTTTCTTTCTGTGTGCTGACAAATTCATTGTGTGATGAAGTGCCACGCTGTGGCTTGTTACAGAGCTTCTAGTAACAGTAGTTTCTTACTATACTTTTATTTATCTATTCTAGATAATTTGTGCAATGGAAAATTCCACAAACACCTCCAAGACCTGTTTGCTCCACTTGTTGTTAGATATGTCGATCTGATGGAGTCCTCAATTGCACAGTCAATTCACAGGGGCTTTGAGCGGGAGTCATGGGAGCCAGTAAAGTAAGGAAACCTCCTTTGATACAATCGGAATTTGGGTGCAAATGGATGGAGATTCATGCAGAGATGAATTAGCAACCATTAGATTGGACGTGCAGAAAGTGCTTTATATTTTCTAGTTGAATGCTAAAAATAGAAGGCCTGATCTCTTCAGGGTTTTCAAGTTAATGAAGGAAATGGTATTTGCTTTTTGAAATGCATTGCTGCCTCAGTTCAAACCGTGTGCCTTTGGACATGGAAGCATGAAAATGTGAAAACCTTCTTAGCTGGCATGGCTTTTTGGATCCCATCCTAAAAGGCCTTCCCCGATGCTGCTTTTGAACTCAAACAGCTCCTTTTCAGAACAAAACCCTTGCTTTCCTGCGTTCAGTCCAGCCCTGTAACCTGAGTGAGTCATTGCTGTATTTATTCTTCCCCGTACTCATTTTTTTCCACCCACCCCGTGGAAGGATGGCACATCATCCCCATGGCTGGTGGCTGTGGGCTGTGTCCCCGGGCAGCCCGAAGGGGTCCCAGCCCCGACCAGCTCAAGGAGATGCAGCAGGGAGCAGCCCAGAGGGGACGTGGTGACCCAAGAGGCCACCAGCATGCAGAAACCCAAGTGAGACCTAGGGGAGGTGACTGAAGCAGAATCAGGTATAGATGTGGAGGACTAGGGGTTGGCCAGCGAGAAATAAGGAGCCTGAGAGAAGCCCATACTGAACCCAAGAGCGAGTGGATGGTGAAAACATGACATTTGCTTTAGATTGCTGTTGTTATTTGACAGGTTTTGAAGCACTGCTGAACCCTGCTGTGCTTGCTGTAAAAGCCCAAGTCGGTTCCTGTGAAGGAAAAGGACTGACTTTTCCTTCTAATAAAGGACTTAAAAGAGAAGGGTTGACTCTGTGCAAGCACAGTGAGTCTGACAGTGTCTCAGACCAGGGATTTTGACCAGATGACTTCTATAGAGGTTATTTTCCCTGCTTTTTCCTCATTCTCTAAGCAAAGTTAAGTGGCACTGCGCTCTGAGGTTGCTGTGTAAAAGAACGTGTGGTCTTTCAGGGCTTTTCACACCAAATATGTTCAATTTACAAGGAAAAGAGAATTTGTTCAGCAGCCAGCCTCCCATATGCAACCTGGAATCTGATTACCCAGGTTTTCTCCTTTCTTTCTTGTGCATCCTCAGCATCCATAAGGATTGTGCCTGCCAAATCGCGGGCCTTTTCTTGACACCTGATCATCCCCTCTGTTCTGAGTGGGGTTAAGTGGCTGGCGTTCAGGAGTCTCTCTCACTTTCCATTTGCTGTCTTTGGTCTGCAGGCTAACAGGATTAAAAATCCTAAAAAATCTTGTTTCAAATAAGCAGATGTGACCCAGAAAACATAGAAGAAATAGATCTTTCGAGTAGGAGAATGCCATTTTTACAGCCACTCCTTCAAGCAGAATTGCACTTCGAAGTTAGCATTAACTCGAGTTTCAGAGCTCTGCTTTAGCAATGAATCTGTTTGTATTTCCTTGTTGTTATGAAACAGAGGCAGTGAACTCAGTGCAACTGCCTACCTGAGTCGGGCAGTCAATAATCAATTCATTCTGATTTTTCCTTTTTCAGAAGCTGATATTATTTTGGCATTCATTGACTTCCAGTGGCATAACTATAGACGTACATGAGTACTTGGCTGTGGTACTTGCCTGTAAAAATGCCTTGTTTCAGGGTATGCCAAAATCTATCATTTTCAAGTTATCTTTGATACTTTTTACGTCTTTTCTTAGTTATCTTCTAGTGTCTTTGCCCTTTGGGGAGCTTCAGTTGCAGAGCACTTTGAGCATCACAGATTCAAGCGAAAGCCCGGGGTGGGTTACGGTTAGATGATTAGATGTCGTACAGACCCGAGAATTTACAAAATTTGTTCCAGCAGGAAAGTGGGTGCTTTTCACAAGAAGCTTGTGTCCATCTGGTGAAAAGATGCACTCTGGGTTTTTTTTCACTAGTCGGTATTTTGTTCTTGTGTCTCGCACACAGAAGTGCGAGCTGCAAATGCTGGCTTCACTTGATCAGACCCAGCACAGGGAGGTACCGGCGAATGCACAGAGGGTGGCACATGCTGTGTGAAGGAGAAGAGGGGAGTCGCTCATATGACGGTGTTGATGCACTGTTCAGAACTAAATGTTAAGGCGTCTTCGTCTTTTGCCTCCTGGGCAGACCACCTGCTATTCCTTGGCTGATCTACAGTGAACTTGCAGACGAACTCAGGTCAGAGGCGTGTTCGGTTTGATCTGCCCTCCTGTATCTGCTTCCTTCTTCCCCGACGTGTCCGACTGCAGCACAGTTGAGCTTTTAGGCCATTGACCCTCAAATATCTTGGACCAGCCAATTCCTATCCAAGTCACGGCCTTCTGCAGGCACTCCAGCCGAGCTTTTCTGGAACTGGGCACACCGCAGCATGTGGCTCCACGGCTTTCCTCTGCTTTGAAGAAAGGCCTTCGGGTTAGCCCGAAAAGGCAGATCGTCGTGGATGGCTGTTCCACTGAGCCTGCTGCTGTCCCACTGTGGATCATTACAGTCAACTGCAAGAAGGAAGAAGTCTCATTATCTCCTCTAAGGCAGGAAATTATTCCACAGCACAGAGTCTTTTGAAAGGGTTTCTCTGCACTCATGCTTGCAATCAAGGCTGAAATACGTAGCCCTCCATAACCTGACCAGATGGCAGTTTGCAAGCATGTATTTCTTCTATTTTCATTGCTGAATACTCTGCACCTTATGCTACGAGGAGTTAGGTATAGAAATCACAAACAGCGAGGGAGATGCTGTTAAGTATTGAAAACATGGGGGAAAAAGCACCGAGGTAATGTGCTCATGAGGGCTCTGTAAGCTGCCTCTGCAGAGCTGCTGAATTTGCAGGGGGTCCTTGCCCTATCGCTAGAGCAGCTGGTGTGCTCGCATGAATCCACGCCGAGAAGCGTGGAACACTTGTCCCTCGCACAGTCATCCAAGTACGGAGGCTACAGAGCAGGTCTGTTCTCTGGTGAGTTGAGAGGTCTTGGAAAAGTAGGGTTGTGCAATGGGTGGTGTGTTTTTTTTTATTTTTTCGTGCTAGCTTCTCAGAGAACGCTGATTTATCTCGCAGCCAGCAGACACGTACGTGTGTGTGTGCGTCTCTCTGTGTGTGTCTGTGTTGAAAGATCTTTCTGAGCAAATGCTAAAGCCGGTGCAGCGACAACCAGTCTCAATTGCTTGACTAGGAAGTTACTCACTGACCTATGGCTGTCTCTACCACACTGTAGTCCTGGCTTTAACATCGACTGATTGCTCACTAACCCTTTGCAAACTATTTATAAACGTATCATTCATTTAAGATGTAAGAAATTGAACAGTGTGATTATATTAACCATTTGAAGAGGTTGCACTGCTATAAGATGCTAGTGAAAAACGTTTCCCCTTACAAGAAGCACTGGTGTAGTGAACATGAGTATTTTTGTTACTATTCTGGGTGTCAGTCAGAGGAAGAACACAGATTTGACTGCCTACTTCACTATCAAGCTCTCTGCTTCCCATCAAGGCTTTTGTGAAAAGATTTGCTCTCGAGCATTTGTTCAGCCTAGGCAGTAAGGTAGCGAGCATTTCTAGTGATGGAAGAGACAGGCATCTGCCTCTGCCATCAGTAAATCATCTCAGGGATCACGTAGGAACCAAGCACTTCAGTACAGACCAGGCTCTCGGTTAGCTCTGTCCTGAAACGGGAGACTCCCCAGTAAAAACACGGTGATTTTTCTGCCCTCCTTCCCGTACTGGGGCAACTCTGACCAGTACCATGGTACAGCATGAGCGTGGGGATGCTGCCAGTCTGCTTGCACCAAGAATTTCCTAGCAGGCAGTGCAGGTGAGAGCCATTTACATCGCCATCAGACACAAATGGGGGTGAATGAGAAGAAACCAAGAAACCAAGCAGTATAGCTCCAGGGCGTACGTCTTTTATCAAACGTATCAGGAGCCAGTCCCAAAGCTTCTTAAATCAGACAGCCCTCATCTTGTTGATCCAAATGCCCACATTCCCTGCCTGATGGCTGAGGTTATATTTAGCCGTCTATATTAAATAGGCACGGCTGGCTTTTAGAAACAGTTTCTCATCTTGGACCTGTAGTTTTTATGGTCTGAGCAACTGCAGGCTGGAACATTTGTTGGTAATATTAATCATTTTTTACAGGTCTCACTGCAACTGTTAGTCAGATAATTAGATCAGTTGAACCTGCAAAACTGTGCATGTCAATTCAGGAGAATATTTTTAAAATTAGTTACTGTATGTTAACATATTATACTCCATTATTTTGCTGTTTTGTTTTCTTTTAAGAGTACTAACTTATTCTTGCAACATATCCTTGCATCAGCAAAATAATGTGTTGTATAAAAGAAATATGTTTCCGTGTGAATATAGTATACTGTTTACTCTAGAAGTCATATTTTATTAATACAGTGTTTTTATTAATATAACACTGTCACTTCTTGAATTTTAATATTAAAACCAAAGGTCCTCTGATTTATGTATTTACCATCTGGCTAAGTTATTTAAGTTGCTTTCCCTTATACATTTATATGTTGTCCACCTCTTGCTATTTCTTTATTTATTCCATATCAGTATTTAACCACATGCACTGCCATTTCTGAAGATTTAACACTCTCTCAATCACTGTGGAGTCTGTGTCTCATTCAGCAATCATACCATCTTAATAGGCAGACACCGTATGAATGGAAACAATGGATGGCTTTGTTGCATTAGTAAATTCTCCTATGTACTTGCTGCCTAACAAAGACAACAAGCAGATAAAGTGAAGTCAAATCTACTAAGAGGCATAGAAACAAAAGCAAACAAAAACATACATTTTTTTTTCACTAGAAAAAGTATATAGATTTTTTTTTTCACAGACAAGGGATTGTATTCACAAAGGGAGAATGAGGTTCTAAGTCCCAGTCTGTTCCCTAAGAGTTGCCACCAAAGACAAACAGCTCTTGTGGAGATGGAGTTCACATCTTCTATTGCATTAGGAAACATTTATTCAGTATAGCCAGCTCAATTCCATTACTTTGGATTTTTTATACATAAAACTTAAGAAATACACCTCAAAATATGACTCGAAAAAGTTGTTAAAATTTTAACATTCCTTGAAACACAAAATATGCAATTTGATAGTTTTCCAAGACTCCTAATAAAGCTGCCTGTACAGCACCTTCTAATTTCATCCAGGGGAATGGGGGAGACCTTTCAAGGTGGCATCTTCTGGTATGGTCATCAGGACCAAGGGAAGTTTGAACACTGAAGCTGAGTCCTTGCGTATCAGCAGAGAAGCTTCCAGGAACTTCAGCAGTACAGGATGAAGCTGAAATCCTGAAGTCCTGATTCTATTTTTACTGAGCCCAAACAATGGTCTGGTAAAGATGATGTTTTGAAAACTTTAGGCATGCGGTGTTGCTATACCACACGTTTCAGGAGAAACAAGATTTTGGATTAAATTAATACATTAGCCCATTTTTAAAAGATCTCCTTCTGCATAACAGTTGCATATCTGAAAATGTTTATTAAAGTCACAATGCCCAAGTACACTTGCTTCATAAATTAATCTTTGAATATCTTAATCACTCCACGGCCCATTTCCAGCTAAACAACATTCACACACCAGTCCTGGATTTACTGAATGCAACTCATTCACTACACATACGTAGACCAGGGACACATTTTGACTCCATACAGAAACACAAGGGCAGGCTCAGGACACAAGTCTTCATTTAGGAAGAACCCATCAGTTGATCCCGATTAGCACACTTTTATTATTTGTACAGCACAAGATAAACAGAGTTTTTGGAGTAAAATCCTGACTCCATTGAATTTGGTGGCAAATACTGTTAAGGGCTTGAGCAGAGCTAGAATTTCAACCCATGTGTATTATTTTGAGTCCTGATTCCAAAAAAAGCTCCCTGACTTTTCCAGTAGCTGGCTTAGCTTAGCGGTTTCATGGATCCCTCCAACCTGAGAATGCTGAACCGAAACTCGCTTCCTTACGAGGTAGATTTTTACAAGCAAAGGCTGCTCTCTGCACTTTGGTATCAGGACTTGAAGGTTAATTTATTTTGTGTGGGTGTTTGAGTACTCTGCTAATTTGCTACTTTGTGATTCTTCTTTCATTCTGTTTCTTTAAGTAACTTGCTTTTTATTGCAGACTGCAAAACAGTACACTTAAGCTTCCATACCCATGCTTCTTTCTGAAATGTTTTGCTTTAGTTTTTTAACTGTCGTCGTGCTGTGAACTCTGCAGATTTGTTTATGAGTGTCATGTGCTTCTGCTACATCTGCATTGTCACTGTTATGGTATTTTTTCTTTCTGTCTGTTTCTTCCACAGGAGTTTAACAAGTAATCTGCCCAATGTGAATCTACCAAATGTGAATCTCCCTAAAGTACCAAATCTACCAGTTAACATCCCGCTAGGCATCCCACAAATGCCTAGCTTTTCTGCACCGTCATGGATGGCTGCTATTTATGATTCTGAGTGTGTATTCAGTTCAAATTAGATCTCATTTAAATTTAAAGTCATCTTGGCATGGATATGTATTGTTTGTTTCTGCATTATATAAAACTTTAAAGAGTGGTACAGTTAATTAGACATTTTCTGAATGAGACACTAGTGAATTTCTGGCATGTGCATTTTGAGGGTGTCTTGTATAAATCTTGAAAAATTTTCTTTCTCCCACCAAGAATTTGAGCAAGTATATTGCTTTACAAAATAGCCATCACCAGCGGGACACGGCCTGGCCAACATACGAACCACAGAGCGTTTAATATGAGCTGCTGTGTCTCAGCAAAGAGTACTGTCCAAAAGAGAAGATGAACCAATTTCAATACCAGTCAACCAATTTCTGTGGCCCAGATGTAGATCTAAAAGTAAATTTTCTTTAATGTGAGCTCCTCATTCCCCAGATAATAATTTTGTCTTGATTTTAATGAAACAGTTTAACACAGAGAAACACCCTGCAATGATCCTTATTCGGGTTGTGGGAGGCCCTTTTGAAACTCCACATCCATCTTTACAGGCTGGATAATCCCATGACCAACTAAAGAAAGATCTTTTCAGCATGAGCTTTTGATTGTGGCTGGAGAAATCAGACACTGTGCCAGCACAGTCGCTCCATAGGAGCCTCGGGCTCTTATCTCAGGCTCCCCGTGTGAGACCAAGGTGTGTGCTCAGGAGGGTGGAACTGCACATCCCCAGCTGAGCACACATCAGGCACTGTCAGCTCTTTGAGCAGATTCCCCCTACAAGTCCCAGCCACCAAGCAATGCAAAGAGAGGTACAGGTGGCTAAATCCCAATCTGCGTTGGAGGCAGCAGGTCTCACAAGATGTCCTAGCACAGGACCTGAGATCTTCCCCGTTCCCCTGGGCCATTTAAGACCATCCTGGGATGGTCTCAGCCAGTTCTGCACATTTGTGTTGTTTTTTCCTTACTACCCCCTCTCTCCTAAAAGATAAAACCGAAGAAGCCTCCCACATTTTTTTTCTCCCCATCACTGTTACTGAAACACCCTTGATTACATCTACACCTGGGGTCCACCAAAATGCCTCTGCCATGCCCAGACTTTATTGCAGAGCAATGGTAATGAACCAGAAATAAAGAAAACACCAATATTTATTTTTTTATAGAGTTTTAAAACATTTTAACTATTATCACGGTCATTTATGTTTCAAAGTATACAACTCATATTCATGCTAAGATAGCTGTATTAAAGGCTAGATTAGGCAGTTGCCTGTAAAGAGTACTTGAAAGTTTTAATCTTTTTCTCTGTGCATGCTTTGTGGTATTACCCTTGAAAAGATAAGAATCATGTCATGACAGAAAATTGGATAATCCCTCTGAAAACTTGAACATAAATGGTGTATTGCAAGCTGCCTGGCGATTAGAGTTAAGTGCAGTGCTCACAAGCAAAATATTAACAGTGCAACTTGGAAATAAATCTAATACATTGTTTACTCGCCTGAAGCCCTAATCAAAAGTGAGAAAAAGACCAAAAATAATAATTCTGAAATTTTGAAAGCAAATGGGTGTCATAATGTTGCTGTAGTAAATACCAATTACTGTATTTGCACGTATTTAATTATTTCAGACATAAATTCTTGCATTTCTAAAACTGGGTCTAGACTGTTAAAGCTTACTTATACCCAAGCACAGGTTTGAACCAGGAGAAGCTACAAACTGGTGGCTGGAGCAGCACTGGAGACTTCTGCCAACTTGTCCCCTGGTCAGAGGAAATGCCTGATTCTTTATCTTTTCACTTCCCTGGTTTCCTTTTCCTCACCCTTCCCACTCCATCGAGGACGTGTTACCTGTCGCTTAGTGTCAGACTCGTTTCTCTTACAATGGAGATGACCCATCCTTGATATCGTTCTCCCCGTTGGCACAGGACCCGCAGGGCCCCTGGCATGTTGGGGACACGGTTTTCACCTCACAGTAGCCCACGTGTATGCATTTAGCTCCGGTCTCCTCTAGCATTAACTCAATGCAGCTGGCATCTGTCACAATAGAAACACCCTCCCTCACCTGTTTCTATAGATGATGTCGGCACAAGTGGTAATGCATGGTGTGTTAAATATCTTCTAAATTACCGTGTTAGCATTAGTGGTACGCGAGGAGGGGGTTGGATCTCTTGAAGCTCCCTTGGTAATTGTTCTGAAAAAAAAAAAAAAAAAAGGGAGAAGGAGAGAGGGAGAGAAAAGGGTTATGGATGCATAAATTTCTCTGCACAAGCGGAGCACAATCGAGTTCTGTATTTTTATTCCATCAGTGGAGGTTTGGGATATAATTATACTGTGAAAAGAGCCGGTGTAGCTACACACTGCAGGACCAAAGACTTCCATCTGGGCAAGGGTGTGGGTTCGAGAACGCAAGCTTTGGAAAGAAATTCAGAGTTTTGTGACAGACCAAAGAAGTTGCAAAATCATTTTTTTTTGGAAAATGGAAATCTGTCATCCTCTAGATGCCTTTGCAAGAGGCAGCTCTGCGGAAAGGTGCAGCAGTCAATCCAGCCAGAAGGTCTGGATGTGAGATGCCCAGTGCCCTTAGCTCAATTGACTTACCCCCATTTTTTTCCAGCTGTTCAAGAGCTAACGCGTGTCCTCGCTCACCACTTGTTAGCACTGTCCCTTCCCTGGAACCAGGGCCTCGGTGGGAGGGACAAGGCCACCTAAAGATACAATTCGGAGGGGGGACGATTGCATGAAACCAAATCTTAATAACTGCATACATTCCAGTATGGTAGTTATTACCGGTCGAGGATTTTCTACCACGATTCCTGGCCTTAATTTTTAATAACCACATGTGTTGATGTGGTTATTAACTAAGGCTGATTTTTACCATACACACGTTCTTCCTGTTAATATGTGTAACTCATAATGTTGTCTTACTCATCTGGTCTGGAGAGTTTCGTGGGTTATGACAGCAAGGTAGATTAGGCAACTGTATGGTAAAACTCAAAATCCTGATGGTGGAGATTGCCAGCGTTGTCCTGTGTATGAAACTACTGTCTGCTCCACACTTGTTGCAGGAATGGTCTCCACATCAGGTGGCAAAGAGTCTGATGCCGCTTATGACTTGTGTTCTCGTTCTGCCCTGCCAGCAATGGATCAGGCACCTCGGAAGATCTGTTCTGGAAGCTGGACGCCCTACAGACTTTCATTCGGGATTTGCACTGGCCCGAGGAGGAGTTTGGGAAACACTTGGAGCAGCGCTTGAAGCTGATGGCAAGTGACATGATCGAGTCCTGCGTGAAGAGGTACGTGTGCGCGAGCAAGGCAGGAGCTCACCGGGCAGCAGCATTTGTCTCTGTCTCGGTATCAGTGCTGTGCTTTGCCTTTCAGCATCACTCCCACCGTCATTTATTCACGGCCCCAGCTCAGCACACACGGGGTGGAAAGCCACCTCCTTGCTGCGAACTGTGGGCTTCCCACCCAATGGTTTGTCTGTTTGTGAGACTCTGGGGAGAGCCTATTCGCACTGAGGCAGGAAATCACCCACTATTTTGAGCTTTATGGACTGTCAGCTTATTGTTGGTGCTGCACCTGAGGTTGAATCTTTGTAAAATCAGCTTCTTGTTAGCGAGGCCGAGTGCTGAAGGCACAGCCCCAAGGCATATCCCAGCAAGCAACCAGAAAACACAGATCCAGGAAAAAAATAAACAAGCAAAAAAAGTGATTCCAAAAAGGTCGATAGTGTAGCTTGGCACACAGGCTTCACATCTGCTGTTGAAAGAGAAAAGGCACCGTATCATCACAGGATACTCACCTGCAGATCTCACAAAAGAGAGAGGTTTCTTTAAAAACTCGCAAACATACAGACAGCCGTCACTTTGAAAACAAAATGTTACGGTTAAATTGTCAAACTTCCCACAGCAATTCATGTTCATTTGGTGTCAGAGCTGTTCAGGCAGGAGGAAGAAATGAACTTTGCATTCCATCGTGCAAAAATTAATAGACAAAGAGACAGACCAAAGGAAAAATGAGTGCCAAATACAGCTGGTACATGCTAATAATAGCCGCAATGTGCGATGTGGCTGTTCTGTACCGCAGTTGCCTGGCCGCTCTGCAAGCGCGAGCTGGGATTTGTTGTTCGCACGTCCTCGCAGGCTGGATATTCAACGTCACTGCACGAGGAGGCACGTTTGGTCCCCGAGATGGAGGCAGTAGGCTCGCCTGCTGGCAGCGGGCAGCTCGAGGCTTGCTCTTGCACCCTTCTGAGGTAAAACCCTGGGCACTGGAAGTGCAGTGAGATGGCCGTGATGTCCTTGGCTGGCACGGCAGCTGAGCTCCAGCTGCCAGGCCGTTCTTTAAAAACAAATGCAGTGCTGTAAGCTGCAAATGCTCCAGGTGAGGCAGTGCAGGGATCCTCCTGCAGCAGCACAGGTGCTGGTTTGCAATCTGAAGTGATCGGCGGCGTCCTTGGGCTCTGCTCCTCAGTGCTTTGCCTTCCACCAGCCTCACTGAAGGCCAGCAGCGTGTTCAGTGGAGCTCTGCTCTCCACTGTGTCCCCAGCACCACTAGCAAAATACTGATTGTTCTCTGTTTTTTTAAACATTTGAAACTGGACACTGTTACTGCACCTGTGGTGCAGTTGTAGCTGCGATGATCTGCAGAAATGAGAATGGGTTAGGTTGGCTGAGATAACAGGGAAAAATAAGCCATTTTCCAGGTACATCTGAAGAAGGGTTTTTGTGCCTGAAAGCTGGCTTTTTTTCCCAACTGCTCCAACCTTTCTACAAATATATTGCCCCTCTACAAAAACCTGGCCTAGCTTGCGATGGTGTGACTATATATAATGGTTCTGAGCATAAGTAAGTAGGAACATGCTCATCTCTGCGAGGAGATGGAAAATCCCAGTCACTTTTGGTCCTTTCAGTAATTATCAAGATTCTAGTCCCCGAGTCCAGGCTAAATCTGGCACTGGTAATTAAATCAGTTCAAATGCCACTGCTGATGTAAACCAATATGCTGCTTTCCCTATTTATATCACCTGCAAACAGGGCCTGGCTAAGGTTTCTTTAGCAATTTCAGTTTGACACAACATTTTTCTTCGCGTCTGTCTCTGAACCGTTGAATGCCATGGAGGAGCCACCCCGCCTTCCACACTTGGTTGTATTTCGGGGCTGTCAGGAAAGCAGCCCTTGCAAGGCAGGCCTGTTCTGCTAATACATCCAGGCAGGAGGACCTCTGCACCAGCCCGGATCTGAGCCCAAGAACGGGAGCTTCACATTTGTAAATTAGTTTCCATTTGCATAACCCTTGGGGGATCTTTCAAGATCAGAGTTATTCCTGAGCTGCAGCTGATATTATTTGTTATTTCTAAATTGAAGCTCCTATGTTAATTTGTTGGCGGGTTCTGTCGGATGTGATAATTGTTCTGTGCTAGGTTAGGTTAGAGAAGTACCTCAGGAATCTGCAGAGGGGCTCAAGAGAAAGGCAAGGCAGTGCCCACTGATCTGCAAAGCTTCCCAACGCTGGAGTTACAAACATCTCAGTATTATAAATACTACACAGGATCACATTCTGTAGCCTTTGCTCCAAAAAAGCTCTGTGTGGGCTCGTGCAATGTGTGTGTTCACCCGTGCACGATTGCATGTGTGCACGTGGTGCAGATGTACTGTGGGGAGTGTGTGTGCCTTGGACAAACCACTCCTGTGAGCTTACGAGACAATCAGAAAGTTTTGGCAAGCAAAGAAAGTTGTGCAGACCTAAACCCACGATGATCTTGTGTCCTTTCAGTGGAGCAATGAAGTAGTTCCTGGCTTTTGTAGTGGGTATTAGGGAGTAATAGGAGCTCCCTTGAACGCACCAGCCTTGCTATTTGCCTGTGGTTACAAATCAGCTAATGCAACCAAATTATAGGTGTACATTGACACTGCTGTTTGCAACATCATCACACTGTTTATCAAGCACGAGAAAGTCATAGTTTCTCTGAAACCGTTGCACACTTTATAAATAGTGTGTACTCTGGGGAGCGCGTTTCTTTTTAAACTGGGGAATCATTTTTAGTAAGAGCACGTTTGTAACAATTGTACTGGAACGCTCCCAGTAGCACTCAGCTTTCTGTTTTGTTGAACTCTTCGGAGCCGTGTGTTTCACATTATTATTAGCTTCAGTATTTTAAAAAGTAACTGAAGCATCTTTTTCTACTTCCCTTAACAGAACCAGGATTGCGTTTGAAGTAAAACTGCAAAAAACCAGCCGATCAACAGATTTCCGAGTCCCTCAATCAATATGCACCATGTTTAATGTCATGGTAGATGCCAAAGCTCAGTCAACAAAGCTTTGCAGCATGGAAATGGGCCAAGAGGTAAAAATGCAGGTTCTTCCTTTCACAGCTTTTAAAGGCAATGTAATGAAATTTCCTATCTTGCTCTGTGCTAAGTTAAGAGGCATGTTAGCACTTGTGGATTTAGCCTTCCATATAGAGCGTGCAGATGAATATGCAGGGTGTTGCTCTCAAATAAACCCAATGAATATGAACATTCAGAATCCCAGCCACTTAGGAGAGATTTTTTGCAAGGGCTGTGGTGTGCATAAGGTACCTCTAGAGCTTGTTTGATGGGTGCTGACCACATATATTAAGTCATTAACCACATTTTGGAGCCAGGTGTAGGCAACAGACTTCTTGTGTATGACTGTTTTCTGGAGACAAACACGGAAAACAGAAGTGCCAAGTTGTTGCTGAGATTCTTGTAAGGAAAAGAAAAGACTTACAAAAGTAGATTGAAATTCAACTTCCTCGAATATGGGCTAAAATCAGCAAGCCTGATGATCCTGGCTTTCCAGGTTCTTAATGATTCAAGTTTCCCCACAACAAACCTGTTTTAATTAACCACTGCTGTAGTTTTTCTTCTGAAGCCATAGCTGCAGGTTGAAGTTTCTGTGAATTAGAAAGACACGCTAAATTGGATTTGATTAAATGCATCATAATGATCATTTTGTTATAGTGGCTCAAAGCCAAATTAAATATTCATAAACCAGCCTAGAATAAATTCACAAATACTGTCTGGCTCTCCTATCCTGCTGCTTGTCAGCATTTACTAGGTAAGCCCTCTCGTACAACTTTGAGTGGTCAGGTTTTACAGTCAGCCCTTGCAAGTTACTGGTTTGCTTTATTTACGGCGGCGTTTTGGAGATCAAACCAACTGCAGTATTGTGACAGAGCAAGCTTGTGGCATTCAGAAAATCACCAGGTTAAGTATTAGGATGGCAGGAGGCTGATGTTAGCTCTATCTGTAAATCGTGTGTCCAGGCACTCGCTGCATCTACATGTGGTGCTCGGGGGTTCCCATAGCTTCCTCCAAATTTTGAGCATCGGTCACTGTGCTCACAGTTGGGGGGCGAGCACAAGGAAGGCAGGCAGCAGCACAGGCACATCTCAATTGTGCCAGGGCTGAGTGCTCATCTTTGCAAATCTGCCTGGGCTGCTTCCAGGAGGTGTTTGGTACAGCAGCCCTGAGCGAGCGCAGCTCCAGTGGCAAGCAGCACTTGCTGGGGTACGAGGATTTTAACAGATAACTGAACTAATAGAGTTGCAAAGCAGATGTAAATTATCGGTGCATAAGTTACCGTTTAGGGCTGCAGCATTTTATACACCCTCCCTTTTTCTTTTCTTCCTTTTAATGAGTGTTCCTACCTCCCCCTCCATTCGCTCATGCCATGAGATGCTCAGGCTGGGGGCTGGGGGGTCATGGTACAGGAGCAGAGCTCTCCCTACAGCCAGAAGGACAGAATGCCACACCAACTCTTCCAGTCCTGGTGGAAACGATGGCACAGATCGACAGCAGACAGATGAGAGACAGGGTTTGAGGCAGGGATGTAAGGCAGGGATGCTCCTTACCATCAGGAGCCCCCATCAGAGCCGCAGCCAGCAGCCCGTGTCCCCAGGGCTGCTGCGCACCTTGCACCCCTTCCCCCAGCACCATCCACAGCCACTCTCCCACAAGGCAAGGTCCCTTTGTAGGGAGTTCAAAAGCAGCAAAAAGGGCTAAAATTGTCCGCGGCGCCGTTCCCACATCACAGTTTGCCCAGACCGTGCCAAGGATGACATTCTGATGGGAAACTGAGCCCCTGATTTTTCTCCCTGTCAGTGCTGTACGTGGGCAAAGACAAACTTGGCGCATCATCTGACCTCGCTCCCGGGGACTCCCTCCCACCCCACGGCCTTTCTCCGAAGCCTACCTTCGGCTCCACACACTTCAGCAGACACTTGAATGCATTTTGAGAGCAGTACCCTGTGAAACAAACACCCATCATTTCATTTCCATTTCGTTGTCTCTAAAGGCAGCTGTTAAAACATTTGGTAAACATACTTTACCATCTTAAATATTTATTTTTCCTCTGAATTTTTAATACATCTAAGGGGATAAATGTATGTATTAAATGTTTCTCAGTTGGTCTAGTATGTTTCTATTTAATATCTAAGGTCAGATGGTCCTTAGAGAAATACAACGTACACACAATCTGTTACATGACAAGGCAAGATACTCATCACATAAAGTCAAGTTGAATCATTGTAGTGCACTGATTAGGGATTGTAATAATCGAGCTAATAGAAAGCTGTGATGAACTCCACCAGCAGCGGTTGCTGCGCCGAGCGAAGCAACCCAGGCTCCGCGATCTTTAACCCCGGGTGTTTTCCGAGGGGATGCAGAGGGAGCTGCTAGAACCGCTAGTTTTGGAGCCAGCCAGCTCTGAATGCCCCCCCAAGCACCATTTTTCACCCCACTGTCCTCCCAGCCCCATCCTAGCAGGGACTGCTTTTCCCCAGGGTAAGGAGCTGGGGCCGCCCAGGCCATACCCCGCAGGGTCCCCAGCCCCGGGGCTGCCCCAGGGGTTTTGCACCCTGGTGGGAAGGTGCAGTCAGAGCCCTGCAGACACCACCTATGGTGCTTGCACAGGGCCTCTCCTGCTCTCAGAGATGCTTGCTTATTCCATCAGTGCCCTTACTTGCTTTTTAAACAAGCTTTTAAGTGAAAACGCATTGGTGAAGGCGTTTCATGCTCTGTTTTGCATGTACCCAGCTATTTTTGTGTTAAAACTCATGATTTATCCAATGTAAAAACCCCAGTTGGCAATGCCCTCTAATGAATTAAGCATCCTTTTGGAGGAAAATATGGAACTTGATATTGAGTCAGGGAAATTTTGCTCTGGATTCCATAAATTGTCCTTTACAATGGGCAACCATCTCCAAAAGTGCGTGCACTGCCAGGCCGTCCTGGCTATGCAGCCACCTCGCAGCCCTCTCCCATCCCTCCTGCGTTTCTCTCCTCCATCCCGGAGCCCCAGCAGCCCCTCAGCTGCCCTGCTTTTTTCTTCCTCTCCTCCTTGTCTTCCCAATCTGCCTGCCCGCTGCCTGCTTCCCAGGGAAGGGAATCAGCCAAGTCCAAGGTCTCCCACACGCACAGCAATGTAGCTGCAGAAGGAAAACCCCATGGGAACGACAACCCCAATGCGTGCAGCTCCTTCATCATCTTCCTTAGGAGGTGCTGGCCGTGTGTGCTGAGGACGTTGGTGGCTTCCCCCATATCCAGCAGTTACCCATCCTTTTCACCCGGGGGCCACATCTCCCGCTGTGCCAGGGCAATCTGGAAGCTGATGAGGCCTGACCCTACATTAACGAGCTCAGCCACAAACAACTGGGGTTGCTGCAAGGCGCTCGTATACGTCTGGACCTGCAGAGCAGGACATGGAAAGGGGATCTCCAAAAGCAAACATCGTTGGTTTGCATGCCTGGCCAGAGGGACTCCTGTCCTGCCCCATGGGGACGTGGGGGCAGCACCACATGCCCCTGCCCTGCTGTAGGACCCACCTGGCTCCTTCCCCTTCAGAGTAAGAGAAAGCCTCAGGGGTCTGCCAGCAGGTAGCTAACATCCTGCCCCTTCCCCATGTTCCTTGCTGCACATACTACAGGCAGCCAGCTCTGACGTTACAGTGAGAGGAGGTTTTGATCACGTTTCATTTCCCCCTGCTTATTGTTTCTGTGCGTGATGCTGTTGTTATCATAGCCACATTTAAAAGGTCCCCCCTTTTCTTTAAGATTTTGTTTTATTTATTGTTTATCTTCATATTTTCTTTTTCCTGTCTTTCGCACTTTCCTCTTTATTTCTGTCCCCAATCATCTGAAAAGTTTGCTAAAGAGTGGGTAAGTGTGTCCGACTTTTTTTTCTTTGTTCCTAATTCCTGTGTTAATGTGCTGTTGTCGTAGGAAAAAAAAAGAAACCAGAGAGCAGCTCAGACTGCTGATCAGACACCGAGACCAACGTCTAGCATTTGTAAAGCCCTCGCAGTCTTCGTTCCCAAAGTCTGATTAGTATTTAAAGCAGATTTGTCTCTTTCAATGTGATTTGATGTTAACATTTTAAAACAATATTAATGCCAAGTGGTAATGAATATAGTGACTAGCACCAGTGCTTGAAATGTTTGACTGAAAAATCAAATGTTTTGTGTTGGAAAGCAGTCATAATCAGTATTTTCTCAGTCCATTGAAAATAAGAATATACTGTATGTTTTCACTAATTAAATCTTGTATTGGAAACAGGTCTTTTCTAAATTAGTAGAAGACTGTATTTTAGTACCTATTCTAGCCATATTGCAGCTGATTGCATCAGAGCTCCCAAGCTAAGGAGGGTTTGGCATGTGCAGAGACTGGGTTGCAGACAGAAGCGATGCTGCTGCTGCAGGCAGCGGCGGTGCTCAGCGGTGCTGAGCGCGTGCCGTGGTGCCTGCTAACGCGCAGGGCTCGGGGCTGTGCTGGCTGCCATCTTCTGCACAAGGAAAAAGACCGATCCGAGTCTGCTGGGTTTCTTTAAGATCTTTTTTAGAGCCACTGAGCAAAGCATTTGAACACGTGCTTAATTTTAACCGTGTGCCCGCCAAACTCGATGCGTAACGCACCTCTGGGTGCTCTGCTGAAGCAGACTGGAAGTGCAGAGCGCCTTCCCCAGGGGTTCAGCCCACTGCAAACTCCCCCGGTGCAGAAAATGCTCTCTGCTCCCTTTCCGAAGGGCTGTGTGTTTTATGGTGCCCTAGGCAAGGGATGGGGAAGCAAAAGCACTTGAGGATCTGTAGCATCCTGGGGCTTGCTCTCAGGCGTGGCAAAAGCCTCCCCTCCGGTGTGTGGCTGTGGCTCCTGGAGCTGCAAGCACGCAGAAGAAGGGCAGGGTTTGCCCACGCTCCACCAACTGATGGAGGATTCTCCCGAATTCGAGGGCTCTCCTGTGAGTGTAAGTAATCGCCAGCCACTGTGGTGGAGCACACAGTAACGAGCTGCGTAATTCTTCAGATTAATACTATTGCACAGCGTAGTTTGCCAAGAGAAGAGGCTGACAACCGTAGAGCTCTCGCCTGTGATCAATGCTAATATTTTCCTCCGCCTCTCCTTTTATTTTTCTTTAGCACCAGTACCATTCAAAAATAGACGAACTAATTGAGGAAACCGTCAAAGAAATGATAACACTCCTAGTGGCAAAGGTAACCTTCAGCTTCAGGTGAAGTGATTCACTGTTAACATTGCTTTTTTAATACGTGCGTTTCCATTAAAATGTGACACATTAAGATGGTGAATTGGCTTCTCGTTTCTCACAGGAAAGATCATACATCCCCCCGTTCTTTCATGGTGACTCTTTGATGATTAGGAACTGCATGCAATGCAGTACGCTGTTAGCAGGATTGACACACTGGGCCAGAAGTGGTTCTGAGGAATTGGGTTTATGCTTGTGGGGTACAACCCCGTGGCCAGCATCACCCCACTGCAGTGGGGTGGCACTACAAAGCGCGGCTGCGTAGACGTTGGGGTGGCGCTCAGAGGTGGTCACCCCTCCTACGCCGAAGGTTGCGCGGACAAAATAGCTTGTCTTGCTCAAGATCACCATATGCTCGTCTTAAGAAATTAATTTAGAGGCGACAGTAGTGGGAAGTACATTCCCAAATGTCAGGTTTAATTGTTTGGAAATTGTTGTGTGTTTTTTTTTTTATCAGACTCAGCTCCTCTAGTTCAGCTGCCAGCATTTCCCAAGGGGTGTTGTGTAGGTCTGGTGTGTTGTGCTAACACACGGGGAGCTGGGAGGTAGGGAGAAGGATGGTGGGGTGTTTTTTCCTATAGTTTCAAACTTTCTGAGAACAAGTCATCCCTATTATACAGTGGAGACCTTTAAACATACTCTGCCAACATATGCCAGTTCAATTCTTCTGCGAGAATACCCAGCGAGCTGCGTGCTTGACACTGCGTGCTGGAGCAAGGACCACCGGCTTCCCCCACTGGAGGGGCCGTGCTGGCTCCCACACCCCCTGCACCCACCTCCCGACCCCAGCATCACCCCAGACTCCGAGGGCACTGCACCCCATTGCACCCAAAAGGCAGTGCTCCTTTCTCCCTGCTCCCCAGCCTGCTGGGTGCACGTTGTCCCTTCCTCTGGCAATGCTGAGAGCTCCACTTCCCTGAAGCCAAGGCTGGTTTTTATACCCTTGTTCAATTACTAAAAATAATTGCAGTGTTTTTTGTGTTCATAGTTTGTCACCATTTTGGAAGGAGTCCTGGCCAAACTGTCTAGATACGATGAAGGAACTTTGTTTTCTTCTTTCCTGTCATTTACTGTAAGTACAGACCATATCTTCCTTTCTTTTTTTTTTTTTCTTTTTTTTTTTTTTTTCTGAGTTATAATCTCCTGCTCTCCCAGGACTAGAGAAGCTACATAATAATAATAATTCTGCTATTCTATGATATTTGGACACTGTAACCCCCACACAAGCAAGCAAACACCCTGCTTACACAGTACTCAGACACCCAAGAAGCATAGGCTATCGTGTTGTAGCACAGTGTAAAGCTGTGGTCAGTCATCACTCAGGCTGGTGGAGTTTATCCTATTGAGGAAGCATATGAAGCTGAAAGAAAAAACCCCACTGTAAATCCAATTCCCCTAGTTTAGCAATCCGAGCTGTATTCCAGAAAATATTACTGACAGTTTCTTAGGACAAACACGCAGCAGCTGATTTCCAGAGGCCTTCTGAGAATGAATGCCCCAGAATTTACCAGAGCACCTGTTTGCAGGCCCGACTTCTTTCATCTGGGCTCACAAAGAGGTGAGCACCCAAATGCATGGGTCTGGGGTTGCTTGGAAAGCTGCATTAAAACCCTTGTTGACTGGCCTGGCCTCACACGTGCAGCCTTGTCGTGTGCTCACTCATTCAGAGACCAGGCAGGAGGCAGAAGGCGCTGCTCTGCAAGCTCCAAGGGCTTTCCAAAACCCCTCTCAGGAGGTCTCATACCTCCTTGTAGTTTTCTGTTGTTCTTGGGCTGCTCTTGGCTGCTTTCTGATGGGTGTGAGGCAGTTCTGTAGCATCCCTTTGGAAGCAGGGGTGGTGAAGATAGACGTCAGAAGACTTTCCAGCTGAGGCAAGAAACTTTGTGCACAGGCTCTGGCTGCGTACCTGCTCTGCCACGGGTGCTGGGTTCCAGCGAAGCACCCCAGATGCTCAGCTGTGCGGGAGGCACTTTGTTCCCAGAGCAAGAGGCAGGGGAGGGATCCCACACAAACCCACAGCACAGCCCCTCTGCAGGATAACCCCAGCATTGCCGCATGGGCGTTTGGGGCAGGCCTTGGGGTGGCTGCCATGGGGAGTTAGGAGGTGCCCGAGTGCCAGCAGCAGGGGACGTGGAGGTGGCAGCTTTTCAGGCATTGGAAATACCAGCATCAGCCCGGGCAGGCAGTGATGTGCAACCCTTCCTTCTCGGTGAAGCCAAGCTGTTCCTCAGCTGCTGCTGCGCTGCTCCCACTGTGTCCTGCTGTGTACACGGCCCCGTGCTGCTCCCTTCAATTGCCAACCTTGTGTCAGGCTCTGAGCACCCCTGAGGAGGCAGCACGTGGGTGCATGGGGGTCACTCATCCTCCCTCTTGGGCACGGTATTTACCACATTCTCCTGCTTTGGTGAGCTGTAGGATGCCCTGCCCTCTCTGCACAGTGCTGAGCCCTCACCCCTGCAAGAGGTCGTGGCGCACTGCAGAGGAGCAGGGCTGCTGCTTGCCAGGCAAGGGACATCTCTTGCTTGGTCCCAGTGTTTGCTGGGAGGGCAGCTGGGATGCACTGGGCAGGAGGAGGCTGAGAAACAGCCCCAAAAAACATTCAGTGCCGGGCTTAGAAAGCCTCTGCTGAGCAGCACCGTTCCCTGCAGGAGTAATGCGACTCGCTGTGTTTAGTCTTTGCAGCGATAAATAGAGAAATTCTCTCTTGTTACAGCATGCTTGCACCACCTCCCACGTTTTCCCCGTCTGAACAAATACAACAAAGTGTTATGGTCCAAGCCTCCGAGATCTAGAAAGCATTAGTCTCCCACCCCCTTCTACCGACTTCTTTCATCGCATGTTTTCCAGGCTCTCGGCAAGTGACATGTAATCGGGGGTCTTGTGACAGACAGTTTTATCACCTAGTAGGCTATCCTCATTTCCAATTCCTGCCTCGAAATTCGAGATAAAATTAATGCATCTGTTGTCCTAATAAATTCTCACTAGCCACTTCTCCTTGCAGAGCACTTTGGGAGGAAAATACCCTTCTAAATTTGGCCAGACTTTTTTTTTTTTTTTTCTGTTTGTTGCTACATTTAAGTGCATCTCAGCAGCAGCAGCCCAGGCCCTGGATGGGTGTCTGCATGTGAAGCTCCACTGAGTCACAGGAATGACAGCTGCTAAAATTCCCTTTAATCTGGATGGCCTCTGTAGGCGGAGAATTACACCTACGGTAATTAAAACTAAAGACTGCATATTACCCGAGGGAGACAGAAGTAAAAGATCTTATTTTTGTTCTGCACGAAATTTGTATGGTAAACTGAGACGTTTCATGGCAAAGTCACATAATTTGTGAAAAACGGCAGCCTAGCAAAAATCACACAACATCCGGCAGTTTGGAAATTTCACTGAATGTAGCCAAATCTGAGTTTAAAGAAAAACAAGTAATTATTCTGATTAAAGGGGAGTGGGCAGGAGAAGAAGCTCAGTTTTTTTGTGGGTGGAGTGGGGGGAGATGGCAGGAAGTTGCCTGAGTTATTCTTGTTGCCTGGTGGCTTGGGGGAAGAAGAGGCAGTGGCACCGAGCTGGACCCAAAGCGCTCGGGTTCCTGGTTTCCCCTGCAGGAGCTGGGCAAGTGAGGGTCCAGCCGTGGTGTTTGCACACTGATGCTTGAGGACACCAGCTGTGGGCTGTGTGGCTTGCCCTGATCGTGGTCCTGGACTTGAGGTGCTGAGGCTGCAGAGCTTCAGTGCTCTCAGTGCTGTTCGGGAGGGAAGGAGCTCCTTCCTTCGGGGGCAGCGAGTGCAGAGCTGGCACCACTGGCCGGGCTCCTTCATGCAGGGAGGACAGGGCTGCTCTGCCCCCACTTTGCAGGAGCAAGGACAGCACTTCAATGCCTGGCGAGGAGTTTTGAGGATAAATGCAGCACCAGGGCGAGGCATCCAGCCAGCTGGGCACAGGGGTACCTGGAGGCGAGACGAGCGCCGCTTCTTCACGGGGAGCTGAGGCTCAGCATCAGTTTTGTCATTTGCTTCTTGAACGTGTGTCTGGGGACCTGCCCCGTCCCCCTGTGGCCCCTTGTGCCCACAGGCAGCACCACGCCGCCCTCCTGCCCTCCCCTCTGCTCCTCCAGCCCGGGCGCTGCGAACACTCGCAGCGTTCACCTCGGCAATTACCACCAGTCTGGTCTTTTGTATCGCCTCATTGTGCTTAATTATGCACCCCCCACACACACCATATGAGTACTTCCACCCACTCTCACATTCTGTCTCACACATACATTCATTCTCTCATTCGGGACACATAATTTATTCATCCCAAGATGCAACTGTGTGCGTGTTATATTTAGGCTGTTTTAATGGTAGCTTTAGAAATATTTAAAAGCAGGTGAGCTTTTACACCCAAACAAAGATGGCCGGCAACGCTTACCCTAATTAAAAGCAGAAGCGTTGTGGAAAATCCCAGCCGTACACTTTCTAGACACGGTGCCTTCTGCTGCAGTGGTAAAAGGGTCTCTCTGGCCAGCTGGGAGCTGCTCAGTTGGAAAAGTTGGACCTGGCGGCAGGGCCGCCTGCCTCCGTGCCAGGCAGCGGGCTCTGCCCCAGGGCAAAGCAGAGACCACATAAATTCGGGGGTTATGGGCTTGTGAGGACACACGGTGTGCTGCACCCACCCTGGTACCCTCCCGAAAATAACATCTTTAAGCCAAGATGAGCACAGGTGCCCTGAGCCCATCACCGGTGCCAGCCCTCAAAGGGAAGCGTGGTCCTTAGGGTGCTTGGTGGGGCCGTCCCCGCGGTCCTTGGCCTGTGGCTCCCCAGGGGACAGACACGGGCTGCCGGGGCGACACGTGGCGTTAGGTGGGGAAGGAGGCCTCCGAAGCAAGCAGCGATGTCTCCTGACGAGCCCCGTCTTCCCCCGCTCGCTTAAGGAGAAGAGGGAGAAGCGCAACTCCCACACTATCATCTGTTGCTATTAGAGCCTGAGCGGCAGCAAAGTTACCTCTCCAAAACAACAACAAAAATACCACCCTTGCTTGTTCTTTTAGATGGGAAACGTACTTTTTGTCGCCCTTTTTGCCCCACTCAGCAGCATGTTGCCCTGGGTCCGGGTGCAGAAGCTGCTGCTGATGTTTAAAGGAAAAGCCTGAAAGTGTACTGACGGTGGAAACTCTGTTCTTGTTCCTTTTACAGGTGAAGGCTGCTTCCAAATACGTGGATGTACCCGTAAGCGCAATTTAAACAACTTCTGTCATAGTAATTTGCTTCGTGGTTTGTTTTATGGCATGTGTAGCAACCCACATTATGCATTAACAGCCAAGATTGAACCGTGGGCCCTCACACTTCTAACATTTGAACTGGAAAGAATGTCTCCATGACGCTAATAATCAGCACTTACCCTCTTGCAGAGACCTACGAGGCTCTTAAGGCAATAATTTGCAGATGGTGTCAAAAAAAGTACCACATTTATGCAATTGGCTTGAATCACATCAAAAAAAAAAAAAAAGAGGAAAAAAAAACCAGGAGCAGTTCATTCTGTTAATTCTTCATTTGGACTTGTACAAATACAGAATAATTTCCAAACAAAAAGGTCCAGACATGTTAGAACTGAGCCAACACACATCTAACACATTAGCTAATCTATTTTATTTTTGTTCTTCTAATTGTTGGTTTATTTTACTCTCTCAGAAAAATGACTTTTTCATTACTTTGGGGAAATGGCGATGAGTTAGCAACATGTGTTTGGGAAATTGTTAATGAAATTTTTCCCCTTTTTTTTCTCTAATTGGTATAGGAAAATTGTACATCGTCTCCTCTAATTAGACCTTGATTCACAGAGAAAAGAGCCCTTAATGTCCTTAGACAGAGCACTTAACTTGCCAGAAATTTACAGTTAAATGGAGTTGAAATGTAATATGTGAGTGTTGGATGGAATAGGGAGTTACTGTTACAGTTACGGGCAGAGAGGCAATTACAAATAAATTACAAATAAAAAAGAGTAATCCTTAATATCCCACACCGAATCCTGCATTCAGATAGTCTGGGCAATTTAAATGGAGAGTAGCTGAGTTGTGTCTGGTGACCTGTACGTGTAATGTACAGGCGTTTAATGCGGATGCAATTGGTCGGCATGTTCCCACATGACAGCCTGACAAATGTATTGGACATCATGGACTGCGTCATCTGCGCTCCGTGTTTCCATCCCTTTATCCCAAGACAGACTTTTCCCACAAAATACCTTTAGTCCAGCCTGGAGAAGGCAAACTCTTGAAAAGTGAGAGGTGTTTGCTTTGAAATGTCCCAGTGCAGAGATATCTCTGAGCAGCACAAACAAGTTACTGAGAGCATTAGAGAGGGAGGCTCAGAGTTCATTTTTCACCCTAGAAAAACATGGAGAGCCTTTAGGTGAATTTCCTGGTCGTGTGAGTGACTTTAAATATTTCGTCAGCAGGAGCCTGAGCACAGAACAGCTATTTTAAGGAACTTTTGTGCCAAACGTGGCCTCCTCTGATGTATCTATCGCAGGAGACGATGCCAAATCCAGGTGGCCCCTCTCGCACTGACAGCGCCTTTCTGCCGCTCGCTCTCCTGAATTTTTACGCTGCTTTTAACGAAATCAGCAGCTGGCCCCACACAACTCCCAGGCTTTTGCTAGAGGCCACCCCACGGCCGGCAAGCTGTGTCACACTGCTTTGGGTTCCCGTTTTAGAGGAAAGAGGGGAAACGGTGTGGCTGAGCAGATGCCCACCGGCTAAATCTAATTCCCCAGGCACTCCTGCGATTGCCTGCCACAAAGCAATCCCTTCACTGCCACCTCGCAATGGGCACGATCAGCGTGCTGAAAATTGCTTGAAAGTGTAACACTTGACTACTGCCACATTTGTGTTGTCCTCATTGTTTTTCAAATTAATACCTTGTCATTGTTTCAGTAGGTGTTAAGAAATGTTACTAGCTTCCCAAGGGCCAAGCACTGGCCCTTTGCTTGATAATTGTTTGCTTTGTATTAAAAAACTCCCTTCCTACTGCTTTCCAAACTGTCCTCATTTTCACCCTGGAAATTACACAGATGTGTTAACTAACTTCAATTTGCAGCGGCTGACAATCGTATCTTGCAGAGAAACGATAACTCTGTGATCTGAGGTAAATCACAGTAATGGAAACTAATGACACTAGTTATTAACAAACTTACAACGTGCCATGGAAATTTAAGATTTTGTGGCAGCTCTTGTAATGACTCCTGTTACAGTATTTTAATGGGTTTCCTTTGAGGTAAGTTGGATTTCAATGTAACAGGCGATACGAACTCGAACAGGAATTGTTTTTAAGTGTTTTCCCCGCAGCCTGCCTCAGTTCCCACTTTCCGTGTAGAAACACTGCTATCCCCTTGATCTTGCAGAGCTGAATTCCTGGCATTTAGCAGTGCCCTGACCATTGCTGTAGACGTAAATCCCTGACATTTACCCAATTTATCCCCAAGAGCAGCAGTGTGAGTTGAAGGCAGGGTCCGAGCAGGCGAAGCGGTGGGATTTTGGCATGCCTCCTGCAGCGCCAGCTGCTTGCTGCTCACATCCCCACACCTCGGGAGAAAAAACACGAGGGCAGCTCTGGGCTTTCTGCCTTCAGAACCCAGAGGGCTCGCGTGTGGCAGGTGCCACGAGCAAGCAGCAGATCCGCAGCCCGGCTGTTGGGCTGATTAGGTCAGCGGCACCGAGCGTAGCAGGAGAGCTTCTTGGCATCAGCGTGGTGAGGGAGAGCTGTGCTCTGACTGCTGCACTCTAGGCAAAAGAAGAGATGGAGACAGTGTCTCTGCGTGGTCCTGTGCTGGGCACAGGGCTGTGCGGGGCACACCGTGTCCATCCCCACCACGGCAGGTAAGGAAGGGGTGAATTGCACGAGGGCGGCAGGAGAGAGACAGAGGAAAAGGAGAAGCAGCGCTGAGGGTACACGGAGGAGCTGCTCCTGCAGCCTATTCACGTTTCTCTCTCTCTCTTCTTCTTCTCTCCCCCATGCAGAAGCCGGGGATGGATGTTGCTGATGCCTATGTGACATTTGTCCGCCACTCTCAGGATGTCCTGCGTGATAAGGTCAATGAGGAGATGTATATAGAAAGGTTATTTGATGTAAGTAAATGCCTTCTCCTCCTTGGACACCAAGCAGGAGAGACCCAAAATGTGACAAAATAAGACAGGAGGATAAGTCACATTTTGAGAAAATTTATTGGTTTTAGCTTTAAAAAATAAATAAATCTTTCCTTTCTTTCTGACTAAGGCTCGTATCTGCTCTCTGCCTGCTTTAAATCTCTACTCTAGTGTACTGTGTCTTGGTCTGTCTGTGCGTGGATTTCAAGGGAACAGCATCTTCTAAGAGAGCCCTCACTATGTTTAAGCTTGTGGAAAATCTCTCGTTAACAACACATCTTGGTCATTGTTCTCGTTGTTAAAATCTGAGCCAGTTTTCTGGCGGATGCATTTGCTGAGGACCATCTCCTCTGCACATTTTGCAATGTTTGTCACTGACAAGCACTCCAAAGCTGACAGCAAATTAAAGCATAGTAAATTTTAAAAACTAACCAAAACAGAGCTGGTTAGGAATGGACTTTCACATTTCCAGAGGTCCATGCGATGGTGCCTGACACCAAAGGTCAAGTTCAAACATGGTCTCCTTGGTGAAAATGGTGTGGCAGGAGGCTGACCTAAAGGTCCAAAGTTATTTTTGTTGGCATGAAATAAATGAATTGGACTCTAGGAGAACAGTGACCTGTGTTGCCCGTTTGTTTTGGATTTGGATGCATGTTAACCAGTATATCTGTTTCTGCTGCTCTTGTTGTGTTACAGCCTTTCTGTCCTTGTAGCTGTTCTATAGCCAAGGTTTTCTGCTAATGGCCAGCCTGTAGCATTAGTGTCTCAGTCTCTCTTAGGGTATCTGTCCATATAGCGATTTCTGTTCGAAGCAGCTTCTGTTCCCACTCTCCTTCCTTTCATCTCTCGGCAGTGCCATCTCCAGCTCCCGGCTCTGGCACTGTAACAATCTGACTCGCTTTCTCTACTCGCTCGTTTGCTTCCTCAGTGTGTAGGGAAAGCTGCTTTCCTTCCAATCAACCTCCTCTTCTACTCAAAACCTCTCTTTCTGCGCATCCCCTTTCCCTCGGAAACCTCTTCCTCCTTCTTAATTCCCACTCTTTCTTTCCCCCGCACCCTATCGGATTAAAATGGAACTTATCTCTCATGTCAAATGTTTTATCACATTATATCAAGTGGCATGAATTAGAGTCAAATAATCTTACTGTGTACATCTACTAGCATGACCCATATCCACTGAGAACGCCTCATTCATGCACGGAGCACGCCGCTGCCTCCCCGGGCCCCTCTCGGGAGAGTTCGCAGCGCTGAGCACCAGCCGCACATCACCCATCGAGCAGGCACGGGGAGGAACAAAAACCAAAAAAAAAAAAAAAAAAAATCAAAACAAAACACAAAACAAAAGACTGTCGCTTCCATCTGCAGCGGGCCTGCGAGTGCACTGCTCGTTTGTGGGGAAATTTATTCCGCGAGCAGTTCGATTTCCAGAGCTCATCTGGACTGTTCTTTTCAATGCCCACACTGCCTTTTCCCTCATCGGTTTCCTGTGATTCACAGTTGGTGTGTTTATACCCTTTGGGCCATTATTGCCGATTTTCCAAAAGCTGTAATTAGCGCAAATATTGGTTTCAGTTTGATCAGTCCTTAGTTTTACCAAGGCGCGTTTTAAGCAAATTAACGGTTGACAACAACAAAAAAAAAGAGCAGCTACCTTGGTGGAAAGCGAAAAGTGCAAAATCTTTCCTTCCCTCCCTGCTGCCCGCAAATTTCCCTGGAGTGACAAGGCAAGGTGGGACCCGGTGCTGCCAGCCTCCCTCTTTGCAGGTGTTTTACCCACAAAGTGTGCTCCCTCGAGCGGGGCAGGCTGGGGGCCCTTGGCTTGTAGGAGGGAGGGGGATGCAGCCAAGGAGCCCTCAAGCTCTGTAGGTCTCCTTTCCCTACGGGGTTTTAGGCACCAGCTATCTTTTGAATAAGAAAGAGCAGAGCAATGGCCAAAAATGCTATTTAGGATGCTGAATTAGACTTGTGTCGGGGTTGTTCTTGCTCCTTCCTGCGTAGCTGCAGAGCAATCCTCTTAGCTGAGGAGTTTCTCCAGGCGATGAGATTATTGGCACTTCAGAGGGCACCTCCCCAGCTGGCATAGTGCAGCGGTGCTGCTTACCCCAGTCCTGTCGGGATGTCCTCTGGCAAGGTGTGCTCCAGCGGCAGGTAAACAGCTCCAGGCAGCTCCTCTGGTCACAGCATAGGGCTAAATCACCTTTCTGTGCCCTCTGGGAAAGACTTCTGATTTTTTTTTAGCTTAGAGTAGTGGAAGGGCAGCGTTGTGCAGGGTGAGGTTGCCTCTTGTGTGCTCAATGGGGTTTGCAGTCCCGGGTTATTCCCGATCCCCCATGTCCCTCCGCAGCCCTGCTCAGCATTTCCATTCATTTCCCCTCTTTGTTTCCTCCCCGCAGCAGAGGCTGCAGGGTGCTCATCAGGCCATTTCCCAACAGAAGCTGGGTTAATGCATATCTTTTGGCATTTGATAGCATTTCTTAGCTCAGAAGCTCTGTCTCCTTCCCCACACCCTTTCCCCTTTTTGCACCTGCTGTACAGGACTGTGCCCTTTGGAGGATAACGGTGTTTGGGGAAGATTATTGTAGTATTTTTGTGTGGTCTGTGTGTTAATCCTCTTAATTCTGCAAATTAGTCAGGGTTGTTGGTTGTTGTTTTTTTTTTTTTTATCCCCCCAAAATAGAGTCATCATCTTAATTTTAAAAAATCTGTATTCTTGGGATCATTGAACGAACAGATTGATCGTGGAGTTCTGCTGGTAATCAAAACCTAACTAGCTTTTTGGCAGTGCTGTTTACTGCAGAGTAACATGACTTATTTACTTGGCCTGGCTCACTAATTTGATAACATTTAAAGCTAAAACACTGTAATAAGACCCGTTGGTACGGAGCACTGGTAACAGAAGAGTTTAAGAATAGCATCGTGGCATGCGTCCCTTCCCCGTGGTTCTGTGCATGTCTGTGTGCTTTGTGATCTGAACCACTGCGAGGCTTTGCATGCGGCACAGACGGATCTCCAGCTCTCCTTAGTGCCTGATGGAGAGCACAATTTTATCCCTTTTTCCCCAGAAGGATGGGGGCTGACATGCGGGATGTGGCTGCTCGGAGGGACGATCGGACAGGGGCAGGCAGGTGTATTTTAAACCTGGAAAAATGCCTGCAGAGGGATTTTGAGTCTTCAGACCAATCCTGCAAAATCCAGCTCCCCGTGGGCACTCATGTTTGGTAGGATCAGAGTTTGTGCATCCTTAATTTTTGCTGAAAGCAGCAGGAGTTTCACTTGTAAAGGCTCGCTTTAGTAGAAGTTATTTATACGTGCGTACGTGTGTGTGCCTTTACACATGCCCTGAGGTGCACGCAGGATAGATTTCAGCCCGCCAGAACATATGTGATCCAGGGAGTGAATGACTGACTAGTAGCTAGTGTGAATGCCAACCTTCCTTCCTGATAAATTGGTAAACACTACTGTAAACCAGAGCAGAATAGCTCCTACCCGGTCGCAGGCAAGTATCGTGTACGCAAAAGGCTACCGAGCGCTGCGCGAGCTGCCCGAGATCCTGCGAATTCCAGCATCCCGAGGCAGTCCCGAAATAGCGCAGATGGCATTTTTCTCTCTGATGATTAATTCAATATCTTACCGAAAAAAAACAAAAACACGCTTTTGATATGAGAGATCAAAACACCCAGAGAAGCTCCTAAGATTGCAAGGACCTAAAAAAAAAATTAATTTATTTCTTTCCTCCTTGTACTTCTTGAAGACACCAGCCTGAGTAGAAGATAAGGATTAAAACAGATGTGCTTAGTGCCAGTTCATCTGCTTAAATCTAGCAGTCTCTGAGATCAGTGATTAAAAAGCCATCTCCAACTTTGATGAAATCCACTGCCATGGTAATTCTGTGCCTCTGATAGCTTTCTTATGGGCCTCACGTCTGCCTAAACCGGACATAGAAAACATTTCACTGGAGATGATACATGGATTATATGGGTCAATTATACACTTAATCTGCCTGCTGGGGATTAAACGTGCATAGATTGACCCTGCGTATTTGGCTTGTCCTTGGCAGTTATCAGATCAGGGAGGTTGCCTTTACCAAAAAGTCTGGTAAGAACTTAATCACGCACTGATAGCACTGATACCGCCCGGGGAGGCGGCAGGAGTTGCAGCGCCGAGCGCGCTGCTTTCTGCAGAAGGCAGTTTTACCACTTCACTGTCACTGTGTATGTTCTGCTTCCTCGAAGGTCTGTGTCACAGCCGGGATAGCAGACGGAGCAGTTCGCATGAAACAAGCAAGCAGGTCCCTCTGTGTCTGCAAGACGAAGGCGGTTTTGTAGCTCGGCGTCGGGGTGGCATCGGTGGGATCCAGCCGGGGCGCTGGCCAGGTCCCACCCCTAGGGCTCAGGTGGAGGCTGGGGCAGGTGCTGTGCTCAGCAGGGTTGTTCAGGCAGCAGCGGTGACTTCCCAGGGTGACATCCAGTGCTTTTCAGTTGCTTTTCCCCAGCCAAGAGCCCAGCAGGAGCACTGGTCCTGCCGTCACTGCTCGAGGCTGTCTGCTGGTAGCTGACTTGGGAATGTCAGAGGCCGTGAGCATGCAGGGAGCCCCGTGAGCCTCGGTCTTCAACAGCATCCTTATACAGATGTCCGGGGAGCTGGCTGGGCACCTCTCGCTGCTTCACTGGAGGATTCACAGCAGCTCAGCACGTTTCAGTACCCGCTGTTTGGAGGCTGATATCACACCTGAGCATCCAGGAAAATTACCCAACACAGGCTGACAGCTACATCAGTTAATCCAGCGAGCCCTGTGCAGGCAGCCAGGCATTAGCCTGGTCTTAAAATCAAAGCTTTGACTTCAGCGGGGTAACCCACTCGAATTTTGGCAGCTCCTTCAGGGAGTGCTTGCAGGATCATGGCGTTTATTCGGCGCATCAGCCTCGCACTGCACAGCCACATGCCAGAAGAGCGCCCTTCTCGCCCCACCTTCGCCTTCCCGT